GGTGAGATACCACGTTCCTTCCAGCTTAAAGTCATTTCACACAGCAGACTGAAAGAGAGCCATCATTCATTTCATTGTTTTCATCAGAAGTAATGATAGCAGACTCAGAGAACCCTTTTAACAAGAGGATGAATGAAGAATGTTTATCTATGTGCAGGACAAATCAGGCCTTATCAATATACTATATTCTCTCTAGATATGAGCTTTTGTTGCATTAGCAGTTATAAAAGATCTAATGTGCGTGTGGGTGTGCGCGTTTGTGTGGGATCGCGTGTGTCGTGCAGAGATGACTTCAACATCGAGGTCCTGCACGCCTTCCTGGACTTACACGAGTTCACAGACTTGAACTTGGTTCAGGCTCTCAGGCAGTTCCTGTGGAGCTTCAGGCTGCCCGGTGAGGCTCAGAAGATCGACCGCATGATGGAGGCGTTCGCACAGAGATACTGTCGCTGTAACCCGGGAGTGTTTCAGAGCACAGGTACGTACGTCTGTAGAATTTAGTCATACAGTCACAATTTTTAATCCACAATAGATTTTTCCTGTTGGTTATTTTAGTGGTCAAGTCTTGAAACAGTGCACACACACACTTTGTCTTGGTTTACAGATACCTGTTACGTGTTGTCGTTCTCTGTGATCATGTTGAACACGAGTCTACACAACCCCAACGTAAAGGACAAACCCTCCGTTCAGAGATTCACTGCGATGAACAGAGGCATCAATGATGGAGGAGACCTGCCAGAGGAGCTATTAAGGGTGAGAGAAGTTCAAATCAAATCTCCCTCTGTGATACAAAAGAAATACTACTACAAAAACATTGTAGTGGTTTTATTGGTGTAAAATGTCAAATTTAGTCACAAAACAGCAGCAAGAATAATTTAAACACAACAAATTTAACATGAAAAAGTATCTGTAATCTAAAGCATTTTCTATACCTGCAGCCTGCTTCACATCCCACACGCACACACGCACACACTTTGCTTTAACTCTGCATTAAGCCAGTGCCCCTCTAAAGCATTATTTTAAGTTTTTATTATTTTATTATACAGTTTTATCTGATGTTTTGCCTTTAACATTATCCAGTGATACAAAACTTGATGCTGGAGTCTTTAAATGTTTTAAAAAAGATAATGTAGCCAAAAAAAGGTCAAATTTCAAAGAAAAACTGCCCTCAAAGACGCTCTTTAGGTGCAGAAGCAGTCTTTGCTCTTCTATTGCTTTACAGAACAAAAATATAGCCTATATTCACGCTCATATGCAACCCAGTGATCTATATTCTAACATTTAATCATCTTTATCTCACCGTCTCTGTAGAACCTGTACGACAGCATCAAGAATGAACCCTTTAAGATCCCAGAGGATGATGGGAACGACCTCACACACACCTTCTTCAACCCCGACAGAGAAGGATGGCTGCTGAAACTCGGTATGTGCATCCCTCTGGTGTGAAGTGGTTGATATATAATTTAATTCATTCAGTCTCTGTGAGCTGGAAGTCCCTCTAGTGGACTGAGTCCGTAATAACAGGAGGAGACTGTTAAACTTGTGTTGAATACTTTTTGTGTAATACTCTTTCGTTGACGTTCTTCTCGTTTGTTTGTTTTGTTTCATGGGTTTTTGACTCCAGGAGGTATGTACCCACCTCTCCCTCCCCAGCTTTAACGCACTGCTTTGCTTCTAAGCTGCCCCCCTCCCTGCCTTTGTTACTCCCACTGGCTGTGTACATCCACCCTCACATCACACATTTCATTCAGAATAAAGAATTCATTTTTGTGTCTTTATTTCCACCCTGCGCTGTACGCTGTTAAAGCTCTGAAGTTGTTTCACGTCTGTTTCTAACTGCCGAACACGTTTTAACCTCAGCTTCTCTCTTTGCGATCAGTGGGCTTGATTTTAACCTGCTGATCTGTGCCTTCAGTGTGCTTCAACGCGTTTCTGTCGTCCAACAAATCTAGTTTTCTGTCTTCACATAAGTTTACAGCTCACCTGTAATCTGTCCTCAGGTGGACGAGTTAAAACCTGGAAGAGACGCTGGTTTATTCTCACAGATAACTGCCTCTACTACTTCGAGTACACGACTGTAAGTACTTCCTGTTGGGCATTTTTCATTAGTTTTTGTTCAGGTTTTATTAGTTTCACTGTTTTTTGTTTTTGTTTTGTTTAGTTAACTGTAGTGACCTTGGTAAGTCCAGTGTTCCTGTCATTGTAATTTATTTTCTCTCTGCTGTTAATAAAGGATAAGGAACCCAGAGGAATTATTCCACTGGAAAATCTGAGTATCAGAGAAGTGGATGACTCCAAGAAACCGGTAAACTTTGTACTCTGTCTCCCATATTTTGTCATAAAACTGACTCATTTCTGCTGTTTTTCTCTCTCAGTAAGACGTCTTTAGCTTAGGATCACGTCAGATTTGGAACGACTAAAACAAGAAGCTGCTAGATCCATCCATCAGTTGTTAGAGTTAGCAGATACAGAGCAGTTATTTGTTCTCGGATTCTTCTTTTTATCTCCTGTCATCAGGAAATCTATTTATTCCCTCAGAATCTAATTGGTTTTTTTGCACTTTCCAGACGTTTCCTGTTGACTCCTGACTCATCTTGTTTGTTCTGCTCTCTCCCAGAACTGCTTCGAGCTCTTCATCCCCGACCACAAAGATCAGGTGATCAAGGCCTGCAAGACGGAGGCAGACGGCCGTGTCGTCGAGGGAAACCACACTTTCTACAGAATCTCCGCCCCGACCGCAGAAGAGAAAGACGAATGGATCAACAGCATCAAGTGAGACACATTTAAACTCTCTCTCTCCTGCAGATGATCGGTGTGATGTTGAATTCCTATAAAGTCTTGTTACATAACCGTCTTTCATCTCCCACCTGCAGAGCCGCCATCAGTAAAGACCCGTTCTATGAGATGCTGGCTGCTCGGAAGAAGAAGGTGTCGTCTCTGAAGGGGCTGTAGAGCTACTGAGGATTAAACCTTGAAAAGAGCTTTGACTTGAAGCAGCGGACTGGATTATGGAGCTGATGCTCCTGCTGCTGCAGCGACACTCGGACCTGCCACAGAGGATCCAGCTTTTAAAGAGGCTCTTCCTTTGTCACCTTCAGTACCGACACTCTACAGGTTTGACCTTACGTTCAACGTTTTATTCCCCATCTAGAGATGAAATGATTCAGTCGTAGCTCTCTCTCTTTTTCTATCCCTTTGAACACCGTGCTCCTGCAGTACTGTGTCGACACCGTGACCTCTGGTTCGGACTCCCACTCCTCTTAAAATCTGCTGTAACGGCTGTTGAAATGTGTCTGACTCACCTCAGAGCCACTTCACACAGACCCAGTGTTTGGTCTGCTGTGGTACAATGAGTTACAGCGGATGAATGAATCACATCAGACATTTTCAGGAGAGCCTAAAACACTTTAACTTAGTTTACAACCAGCCTCTAGTTTGAACAGTTGAGTATATTTTCCAGATGTCCTCTACTAAAAACACTTAATGAAGAAAACAGATTAAGTGCAGGACAGATCTTTAGTTTCATTTGCCATAAAAAATGCTTTTTTTTTTTTCTAAGCCTGTTTTTTTCTTACTGCTGTTGGTCTTTTGTCAAAGCACTGTTAATGAAAATGAAGGTAATGCATAAATAGCTAAATATTTATTTATCCAGATTCTTGTAATTTATTGTTTTACGTTTTGTCTCATTAAAAAGGTTTAAAAACCAATATTTAACTTTCTCTTTTATTTGACTTTACTTTAGTGTAGCAGCGTCCAAACCAGGAAAACACTGTTAATATTCATTATTATGATTCAAAATTTATGTTTTAAAAGATTTAACATAACTGAGAACATCACCTGAAATGTTTTAATTAAATTAAAGATATTACATTTCCTCTCAGCTGTGAACCAGAACTCTTGTTATCTGGATTCAGGTGCAGCTTGAAGGTTCATTCTTGTCCTTGAAAGCAGTTTTGAAAAAAAAAACCCAACAAAACCAACCTTGTGATGAAAATGTGTTTGTCAAACTACACTGAGGTCGTTTGTGGAAAAGTTACGCTTCTTGAACCTCAACCACAGAACAGAATAAGAAGCGCAGCTAGAACCACTCAGGCATTCAAGCGTAATAATATTTTGAAACCGTGTTAATGAAATCATCTATGCATTCAATGTGTGCATCACATTATCTCCTGCTCCTCTTATCTACATCTGATCATTTCACATAAAAGCAATCGCGCTGGTGAACAAGATCAAAACAAGATTTTAAACTTGTTCTTCGGTAACGAGGTGAAAAGCCTGACGGTGCCGAGCAGGGAGATTCCCCTCCTTCCCGGAAAAAGGACAGATTTTAACAGTTTGACTTCAGAGGAACACGGATGTATTTGACAGTGTGACAACATTCACATGATCAGAGGGAGTGTCTCTGAAAACCCCCTCTGTACTCTACCTGCTCAGCACCAAACACACAGACACAGATAGAGACGAGCATTCAGCCGCCTGCAGGAGTTGGTAGAGCTAAAAGAGAGAGTGTTGTTCCTACATTCATCAGACGGACAGAAACACGAGTCCAAATGAACGATGATGTTGCTCTGTGACTGCTGAAAGTGTAAATAATAATGTATGTCAGTGTTGTTTCTGCTGCCCCAAGTGGCCAAAAACAGAATATATATTATTATGTTTCTCTATAAAACCTTTTTTAGGAGGAAATATTAACTTTAGTTCCCCTGAAATGGGACAGGACATTTATAATAGTCTTTATTTAGTCATGTTTCTTATAACCAATTAAACTTTTCTTCTGATGCAGCAAAATCAAACTTTAAAAGATCTTATTTAAACAAACGAAGCAACATTATTGTTTAATCGGAGACGTGTTTCTGATGAATGTAAATCCAATATTCGCGCTGTTTTTGGTCTCCTGAGGAAAATATTTGGCTCTCAACTGTTCACCAGCTGACGAACGACCGCCTGCTGCTGACGTTGGTGCACAACGTTGCACGGAAACAGGAAAAAAAGGTGACACGTTTAAATTTGAAAAACTCACCACATCTTCCTTTTAATTTACAAAGATAATAACACAAAGACACTGTACAGTTAGCTTTGATTACTGCAGAAGGCAGAGCTGTAAACTCACTTTAAGAGCTCTTAAAAACTGTTATTAAGGCTCCTCGAGGGATTGTAACTCTTCACCACACCCGTCTGTGCACAATCACAGTCTTCACTACATCAGGGATGTTCGCTGATGTAGTCTCTATTGCTATTTTACACATGCAACATGTAGCAGAAGTAGTTTTTGAAATGGTTGTAGTTAGTAATACTAAAAAAATCAGAAATCCACAGTGTGATAACATCAGGTGTTAATATATAAATAATCTAACGGAGTGACAGATGTGCAGGTAAACCACAGGAGGTTACATTTTTCAAAAAGAGAGGGTTTTTACCCCCTGAATGCACCACATACATCTGCTCCTGTGTGAGAGTCACTTCCTGGGACACACGCACACCGATGAGGGTTATATCCGAGGCGAAGCTGAAGACTCGAGTGCGTCCGTCTGTCCCGTCTGCAGGAGCGGACCCACCTCCTCCGAGACCTCCAACCTCAGGGGCCGAAGAAAACCAAAAGCCACCTGCCTCCTGCTCGACATGGAGACACAAACAGAGGAAACTGTTCAGTATTTTTAATCGATGTTCCCACACTGTGACGAGCGCCACAATACATTCACAACAGAGCACAAAAAAACCCAATCTGAGAGGAATTTGAAATTCAAAACACATTTTTGTGAGATGAAAACTGCTGCAGACGTTTAGCCTGTCAAACATTGTCACTGCGGTCAAAACACACAATGAGAGCCTCACTCCTGTATAAAAAGGTGCAGTGTGTCAGCATACGCCCTCCCTGTGGCTGCATGATACAGCTAAATTAAATTAGATTTACAAATTTCTACAACCACAATAACAAATCGATTTCAAACTACAATCACTATAAATTACAATCGGTTATTTCTTCCTTTGTTGTTCCAAAATAAATGTGATAGAAGTTTAAATCCTCCTTTTGCTGACCCCCCCTTAGAAAACCACTGTTAGTCAAAAACACAACTGTTGATGGGTCACAAGGGGCCAGTTCAATGTGTGAAACCACAATAAAAATCCCAGTTTCTACCACTAGAGGGCAGCCGGGCCCATCACAGCAGCCTGTTCAACCAGGATTCATCCTGCTGCTGCTGCTGCTGTACTTTAACCCTGCTGACCCTCAGGAGTTCAACACGACAGCAGAGAGAGAGTTTGGAGCGGCTCCAACCTGTTGTCACTAGTTTCTAACAATAGACATGTGCTGAACCGCCGATAAGGACTTTTTATCCTTTAAACCGACAAAGCTATTGTTGGTGGTCCGTGATTTGTTTTTTCCTCTGTCAGGAGAATTAAAAAAAACCAGAAGGGAGATAAGCGGTAAAGTACACAGATCACAATGCCAGACGGAGAGTGAACACACTACAAACCCAGTAGACAGCAACCAGCAGGAACTGTTCTGTACCGTGCTGACAAAGAGGACGACAAACCCACGAAAATACTCCTGAAACAAAACAAACAGTCTAATATTCAATATTTGGCCCATTTGGCAGCCGGCTGAGCTCTATTGTGACCCCGGAAATGTTGACAACACCAGAGTTTTGTTAGAAATGTAGAGTATGGGTCAGAAACTGCAACATATGGACATTATTTCAGCAACTACTTCCCTGATTTGGATAATATCGGAGTGGGTTTTGGGGGTTATTGAGGATGCAGAGTCCATTTCTGACATTGTGGTAATGTTTCAACTCCCGGTGGGCTGATTTTTATTCATTTTGAGGTTATTTATATGTTTAATACAGCAGCAAAAATACAGGTTGATGACTGCTGCACAGTAAAAAACACCTGAAGAAATTTGAATAAATATTAAAACTTCAACATTATGAATGTATTATGCCCGACATATGGCAGTTTCTAAATGCTGCGGCCCCGTACTGTAACATTTATAACATAAAACTTTGGGTCAACTCAACATTTCTGAGTTCACACTGCTGGTAAATAGACTAATGTACCAAATATGTTGCAGTAAGTGTGTGTAAATTAGTTGTTTTAATGTAAATCTAGTTGTTAATCCTGAATTTAAAACCTGCCCACTAACAGAGGCTGCTTTAGCTTCAGTTATAAACCATATTAACTCGTGTTTATCTGTATTTTTCCTGATAAACAATGACTGAAGTTTTTGAAACAACTGGAAAGAAAAGCTGTAAGAAGCTGCTTCACTTACAGTTCAATCAGACATTAAATGTGTTAAAGGTTACACAATAGACGGGGATCCACGGAGGATAAGGCTGGCATTATTCTGCATTTTTCTTATTGTCAATAAATCTGTTGAAAAACACTGAAACCAACAATGTTAGTTTGTTTCTCAACACTTCCTGACTTCCCGAGCTCGTCTGCGGTTTTCAGCCTTAATCCCACTGGTTCCTACTGAAGACATAAATCTTTAAAAACAGGTCACAAATACTGACATGTTTAAAAAAAAAAACACATTTAAGCAACATTATTTTAGATTTGAGTATAAAGTAAATAGTGTAATCTGTTAGCTTTCACTTGTAGACTAATACACATTTGTTGCTTTAGTGAGTATTTAAGGCAGCAGCTGATGACAATGCCTTGTTGATTTACTTAATAAAGTAATAATTATGAATTACCTGTTTTATGTGCATGTATATGCATCAAATGTTATTTTAACTTTTAAGAGCTTCTGAGGAGCAGTTCTGATGTCGCTTATTGACAGTTTAAATCAACACAGCCTGAAATTACAGGTGGAATAATGTTTTATAGATCAGTTCTCACAGCTCGTTGTTTCTTTCATTATGAAAAGAGTGTATTTTATAGTAATAGATTTGTAAGGATGTTCCTTTGACTGTTTTCCCCCCGTCGATTAAACTGAAATTTAAACTTCAAGTAAGAACACTTGAAAAAGACAAAACTGAGCAAACTATATTTGATCAAATCTGAAAAACTTGTTTGTCCGGACTGATTGTGACAAACCGCAGCCGGTTAAAGTGAGATTACAGGTCGGTAGAGATTATGATTTATGGTTGACAGCGAGGATCCCGCTCCGTCGTTGTCTAAATATGTTCGACACAACTTTTAGCCTGAGGTCACAGAGTCATCTCACAGAGCAGCCCTCCCCTCCGGCGTTGGCGTCACCGTGCCGGTAACACGAGGGCTTCCACTCTCAGGTCAACATTTTCACACATAATGTTCCCACTGCTCACGTTACTGTTGCACAGTTTCACCTATACGACGTGCATATTTGTGAGTAATCCTCAAGTGCTGGAAGTTGATCTGTTTACGCCTCGTTTTCTTCTGGCAGCAGATCACAGAGGTTTTTTTTTTTGTTTTTTTCTTTCCTCGACTGCGTCCAGGTAGCGATAAGACACCACCCATTTACCGTCACTATCCAGCCTCTCACACTTCCTGTTCTGAGAAACAAGAACAAAAAAAGAAAACTGCAGAGTGTCTTTCCCTCAATCTTCATCTGTGATCTTGACACGCTTCCCTCTGGCTAGAAGTTTAACATATCTTACTTTTTTTTCAGTGAGCAGCTCATATTTTGTCTTTTCCTGCCCTTTAAAAACACAAAATAAACCAACAAAAACGTCTCTTTCACAATGAATGACTCTTGTTTCAGGGGCGATAAACCCTCTGACTCCACCACGCCAAGTCCTGACAGGACCACACTGTCAAATCATCACCATAGCGCCGCGCTGACTCACTTCTTGACGGTGAATCAGCCGACGCGCTGTCCCCGCTCTCACTTTGGTGATTTAGGCTTGCTGGGAAGACGAGGATGGGACCTTGCGATTTGGGACTCGCCACAATGACTGCAGGCATTTCTAAGAAGCCACAGCCTGTTTTCATCTGTGTGTGTGTGTGTTTCTGCACAGTATGGTCAAGGCTGTATTTTGTCTACTAGGCAAAATTTGAATAGAAAAAAAAAAAAGGGAAAAAGGCATAAAAGCAGGGAGACCAAAACAAAGTTGTGTCTGTAAAAACAAAACAAAGAGCTGAAAGACTCGTAGAGCTGCAGAGTCGGGTGATAATCCTCAGTTTGTAACTATGAGCGACTCATTTCACATTAAACTTTGATCAATTATTATTATTATTATTTATTAGTGCAGCTTTAACCCTCTGGAAGCGGACCGTTTCTTACTTTATCCTGTTTAAAATCGATCTCAAATTAAAAAAACTACAACAGCTCGAGCGTTCATTGTTCTTACGGCAGAAAGCCTCCATCATCTTTCTGGGTGATGATTTACATTAAGTGCAAAACTTTTATTTAAAATGAGCACATCTCAAAAATGTAAAACTGTATACAGTTCAAATAACTTCTGGAGCGTCAAGAAACAGTTTGTTGACGTTTCTACATTTAGAAATCTTTTGAATCACTGAGTTCTTATTTAATAAAATTTAATTATTATAGTTTATTGACTTATATAACCTTTTAGCTTAGGTTGTACAAGTCTTAGGGATATGAATCATTTCAAGAAATGACATCACAATAACCAAAAATACCAATGTAGGCGACTGACTCTGACAGTCTGATCCGAGTTTGCTGCGTTCGAGCTGGACAGACTCACTGAGAATGAACCTGTCAATCCCAAAGTATCCGTCTATTTCACACTAAATGGGACCATAATCTACAATATTAACATCATGCTGTATGGAAGAAACTTTAAAGTAGAGATTGAGACCTCAAACTCATAAGTAAACTATTTACATAGGGTGATTTCTCCATAAGACTCAATACTATCTGACTTCTGTTTTGCAGCCGATGTAGCTGCCCCCTGCTGGCCAGTAGAAAGACACTTCTGGCTTCACTTCACAGACTCTGTCCACTAAATTAAATACCGTGAATGTGTGTCATAAAATAAACACATGTGAGTGAGTGAGTGAGTGTTTCCACCTGAGTCGTCTCTCAGAAGAAGTTCTTAATCAGAGGAGTGACGAGTTTCACCCACAGCTGGACGTGTCGGTCCGGCTGCTCAAACGTGGAGCCGGACACCTCAGTGGAGCGCCGGTACAACGTCTCCTGCTCCTGAGAGGCACAGAGTTTAAAACACAGGTGTGTATTATTCAGTCAAGAGTCACACAGTCATTCATCATCAGCATTTCTGGCTGCGGTTAAAGGAAAATAAAGAGGGAGCCGACCTCCTGCAGCTGGCTCTGCAGTTCCTCGTTCTCCGTTACTATGGCAATTTGGGCCTCCAGGTCACGGTGAACTGAGCGGTAACCGAAATTAGGGGAGCCAATTAGAGTCAGGCAAGGCCGATCCTGCCCCTGGAGGTAATACCACAGACCTGCAGGAGAGGGAAAAGTAGAGTGAGCCAGGGAGGAGGTAATGCTTCAGAGAGCCGCTTCCAGCAGGGATTTCTGTCGGCCCAGACCACAACTAAAAGGAAGCACATGCAGAAATCCCCAGCGTTGATCCAAAACCCCAAAGTATGAGAGAGAGAGAGGTGAGTGAGTGTACATCCTTGTCCTGAGGCTACGACAGAATGACTGTACAAGCCCTCTTCTCTCACGCTAAATACCACTGTGACCACAAGAAGAACAGCAGAGCGGAGAGAGAGAGAAGAACAGTGAGAGTAATGTGCTTTATTATTTCCACCGAGCCAACAAAGCTAGCTTGGAACGGGCGAGCGCTCTGGCTTAGATCATAATCTCCTGTAAGGCACGTTGATGTGGGAGCTAGTGTTAAAACAATCAGTAAAAAAACGATCCACGGAAAGTTAAAAGTGAGACAGAAAATTACAATTACACCAATTATAGTTTTATTTTTCTGTTTTTGGACGTGTTTGCAGCCTGGGAACCAGACGGATCTGTGAGCTCACGTTTTATTTGCTCTGGCAGATTTCGTCTCCTCGTCTTAGATCCAGCCGGCCAATCACAACCCTTCATCTGGATATGGGGCGGGTTTTATATGATGACTGCACAGAGGAGCGCAAACTCAATGGCCCGCTGAAGCATTTTCGTACACAACAAATACGACGTTTGTGTGTTTTTATTGAATCCGCTATCACATGAACTGCACTTAAATCTTTAGTTGATCAGAAAGATGCGTGCTTTCTACTACCTCCCTGATTGGCTGTAGCTCTACAACTGAGAGTTCACTACGCTAGAAGACGCAACGTCAGCTTCCACGGTGAGCTACTGACTTTAAAACGTAATATCCTACAGACGTTTTTATAAAAAGATGCCTTTTCCCTCTTTTTCAAGTCTACATAACATTAACTACCGACTGTCGGTGGTTCTGTCTGTTTACAACATCGTGCTGTTACGTTTGTTTTCACTTGTTGGGACCAAAAATTCACGATCCCAGAGGAACACTAATGCAACGACAGTGAAAGAAAGTAAGAAAGTATCTTCTTTTTGTGAAGATTTCCAGCCTCGAGTCTTTATTGGACTCCGTCTAATCTGATAATTGAACGTTGGATGAGGAAACGGAGGAATAGCTGCTTCTAATTCAGCTCGGTCTCAGAGAGAGATTAACCCGTTCTGTCTGTGTTACTAAGAATAACAATGTCATCTTCCTGTATTAGCTACCAACATCCTGAAAAACAGCAAAAACTGCCACAAAATGTGCAACAATCTCTTTCTTGTGCAAGCGTCAAGAAAGAGTACAGGCTGTTGCAATTCGACTTACAGACAAAACAACTCCTTCTTTTAGATTGTCCAGTTAAACATGACCACAGCTTCTGTGTTGACTAAAAATTACTTCTGGTTGGTTAGAGCCAAACAAAAACACTGCTCCTCAACGGTGGCTCAGTGGCTTCTGAATGCCGTTTTCTATACATACAAATGTATCCGAGGAATCTAGACGTTTTTTGTCATATCTGATTGATGATTAAATATCACAAGATCAACCTTTCTGGGAGCATTAAGGGTTGATACAGGCAGGTATGTGTGCTTTTGTTTCATCCCACCTTTGGCGTGGAAGGTCCACTGCGATCTGTGGTACTCGTGCAGGTGTACTCTCTCCTGCTGGCCCAGCCGGCACACCTGGTTGTAAAACTGTCTGGCGATGTGGATGTAAGCCGCGGGGATCGCTCCGGCGACGCCTTTGGCTCCGAAGAACCCGTTGACCTCCGGGGAGGCGGTGAGGATGCGGTAGCTGGCTCCGGCCCCGAGCACCAACCGCATGTACGCCCGGGTCAGGTTGAAGTAACCCGATGTTAGAAACACAGTGGAGTCCGGCCCGGCGTCTGTCAGCAGGCGCTGGAGGTTTAAGAAGAGATGGAAAGTGAAGAAAGACGTGTTTCTAATCCCAGACACTGAAAAATAAAACTGCTGTATACATAAAACTCATTATAGAGCTCAGCAACATGACCTGAAATCTATCTGATTCTGTTTGTCACATTTACCTTAATAAAAATACATTTACTAATATGATAACATGCTGTTTTAATACAGCTGTGCATTATGTTTGCTCACCTTTCAATCTTAATTAATTACTGTATGACCGGTTTAAAATTGTGGATTTCTTCACTGGGGTTTGGTTTGATTTACTGGTTGAAGTTCTGGATAGACATCACTGGTGGTTGCAGCTATTTTCAGTTTAATTATATGAGATTCAGACTATTTATTTATCCCAAATCTTCCAACCATAGCTCATTATTTCTGCTTTTTATATTTAAAAAGATTATTGGTGTTTACTCTCGTCATTTACAACAGGGCAACGTTGGATAAAAATCTCCTCTCTATAGTTGATTTCATTTATTTTCTGATGTATAATCAACATCTCTCTTTACAGTTTCTCTTTACTTTATAACAGGAAAATGTTCTGTGGTCGGCTTCTTCTTGCAGAAAGAAACGACGACTTTCGGACACAAAATCTGGGTGGAAATCTCAGCAAGTCATCCCTTTGTGAAAGTCAAAATGTTAAATGTACGCTGAGACGTATTGATTCAACTTTTTATAGTAGTTTCTGAGACCACAGTGTGTGCTGCTGTTCTATTGAACTATAGTATATTACTCTGAGGATCATTTTATTGCCTTCATTCCCAGAATTTGTGACTAATAAACCCTGAATAAATGTCCAAATATTTATTCAGGGTTTATTAGTCACATGGTAGTTTATTAGTCACGTGTTTAAAACAATGTCTGCATCTAATTATATAACTTGTTATAAAAGGGAAGGAGCAAAGCACTGGAGACACTAGTGGATAAGAAAAGAGAATATTTAACAACATGGTCGAGTTTTATATATTAGTGTTAGACGGTCAGGTGTGGAGACTCACCTGTGTGACCTGCTCGTCCACCTGGATCCCCAGAGGTTTCATCTGCACCAGAGGAAACACCCAGGTGTCGTCCTCCCCCTCGCTCATCCCCTCGTCCTCCGAGTCCTCCGGCTGGCTCATGAGCTGCTGCCTCACGTGGGCTGCGTTCACCACCTCCATGATCCGCTTCCTCGCCACCACCGAGAAGTCCTGCCTGTTGCCTGGTTGCCGCGGAGATATAAAAAAGGTTTTGAGTGCACACACACACACACACAGATGAAGTGGGCTTCAGTGGGAGACGGGGTCAGTGCGATCTCTGGGTCACGGTGCTCTGAGTGTGTTTACAGTCACTTAGGAGCACGAAGCAGAGCGGAGGATGTTGATGGGAGTGAAAATACAACCTCAGATGTTGTTGGTTCTGACTGGATTCAGACACATAATAGGTTCAATCATCAGTTTACAAGGGTGAGACACAAAGCAGAGCCCCACGTAACGGAGACGACACACAGAATCTCTCCCCGCCACTTCTCGCTCCTCGCCGTGAGCGTGCTTATAAGCAAACAAGTAGCTTTGTTTTTGTTTGTATCGGTGATCCTGGAGTGCACAGACATAGGAAAGGTACATTTCTCCTCCACTTCAAGTAAACACTAAACTTCTTGTCCAAGGACGACATCACTTTTCCCTTCGTTGTCAAATTATTCCCCTCACACGCATAAAGTTATGACATGTCAACATGTCTCTGGTCAGTCCTGCGTGGCCTGTAATCCCACAATGCCTTGAAAATGATTGGGGCGAACTTTGGGTCTTTGTGTTTATGACGACATGCAACAAAAAAGGTCCCCACTTGGCCACCAGGACGCCAAAAGAAACTACAACACTTTATGGTCCAGTGTAACATTGAGGAGGATCTACTGGCAGAATATAATATTCATAGCTTTTTTTCATTACCTTAGAATGAGCTGTTTTTATCTGCAGACGGAGCGCGTCTTCTTCTACAGAGGTCACCATGTTGAAACCGCCATGTTTTCTACAGTAGCCCAGAACGGACAAACCAAACACTGGCTCAAGATTTTTCCTATACGCTTTGAAGGAGAGTATTATTGTTGAGTTGGTGGTAATCTGCAACTTCACAACTTGATGCCACTAAATCCTACACAAACACGTCCTTTAAAATCAACGTATGTCTTTCACCAGGTTAGCTGCTCCTAGCAACCGCTGCTTCCGTGTCAACCAGGAAAATGACATCGGCGGGACGCATCCATCACTTGCTACTGATTGGTTAGGGCAAAATAAAACAATACAACCCCTCTCGAAACACGAAATCAGCCACGTACACACTCACAGTTTAGTCCAGGGACGCTCATACTAAAGGCTAAATGCATGACATTCGTGGTTTTACAGTATCTTTAAACAAGATCATTTACAGACTATTTAATAGGTATTAACAATATTTTACACAAATCTTATAACAGTAACTCAACTATATCAGATAAAACTGCCATACATAGCAGTGTTCACATGTGAATCCCCTACTTCCAGCAGCCATGATTTAGTCAGATCCTCAGGCTAGAGACCACAGGAGGTGAGCGAGAGAGCAGATTTTGGGTGAAGCGTCCCTTTAAGCTGCACAGCAACAGTATCTGGTGGTATGGTACCAGTTAACTCTCCCTGAGTGACTACAGTTCGCTTAAGCTGTAATTTTGTACGTCGGGAGACCTCATTATCTAATAATCAGTTAAATCTTCATTCGTCATTCTTACTAATGTTGTTCATTCGAATTTCACCAGCATCTCTGTGTGTGTGTGTGTGTGTGTGTGTCGGTTCCCACTCCATATCATCTTCCAGCAACGCTGTGACATCACAACTCTATTCCTGGTGTTCGTTACCACGGCGGTCCAGTCCTGCAGACATGATGTCATTCACCCCTCAAACTAACATCCTGGCAGTCTGCGCTCCAGTTACGGACACACAGTACGAGTGTGTGCGCGCGAGTACAGTGAGAAAGATGGAGAGAGCTCTTGCGGTTGGCTAGCCATACAGCCGGATGTGAAATTGTCAGGATTTTCTCTACACACACACACACACACACACACACACACACACACACACACACACACACACACACACACACACACACACACACACACACACACACACACACACACACACACACACACTGACCATCATCTATTCGCCTGTCTAAGCTTTCAAGCTCCATTAGCAAAATCCATTGGCTCCTCTTGCTGAAAACGGGGCCGGTGCCATCGTAACTGAACATGAAGTGTCAAAACATGTTGGAGGGTAAACACCAACTATGTGCACACACACTCGCGTTCGGTTTCTTACCTTTGTACGGGTGCACCATGCCCTCCAACATGGTGACCGAGTCGTCGGGCTGCAGCTGCAGGGAAATGTCTCCCACGGCTTCCACCAGGTCAGAGAAGAAGTCGGCGACCTCCCTGCAGTTCTCCAGCAGCACGTAGCGGTCCTGTCTGTTGGTGAAGTACGAGTCGCTCAGGTTGGCCCTGAAAAAGTGAGAGAGAGGCAGATCAGAGAAACTTGACACCACCAGGTCGATATAGATGGAAGACAGGTGGTCACGCTCCCATGAGTCCTGCAAACATCAAAGATCAACCTACCCGTGCACAATGATCTCCCTTTGACTGCCAGTCAACCGCCTGTTGTGTAATTGGGGGGGGGACCAGCTTAAATGGAGTACAGGTAGCATGTTAGGCAACAGGTACGACCTTGAACTTGCTGTTGTTGAACTATTCAACCATTGTCCGTCAGAGGGTGTATGCAACATGTTGTGGTTAAATATTTTGAATTGGCTCTTCAGGGTTGCAAAACGGTACAATACCTTGTCCAGAGGATTTCATCCATGAAAAACCACATAAACACCATATTGGTCCAAAAATAGGATTTTGTTTCTGGTAATTACATTTTAAAAAGTCGAGGTTGTTTATATTTAAAAAGGCTACAGAATATATATATTCTTTCTGAATGGAGAATGCAACCTCAGTAACACCGGCTGCTACAGAGGTTGTGAGTTTCTCTTTCATTAACCCAGTTTAAGCTGCAACAGTTTCTGATGGCTCGCGCAACGTGCTTTCCTGCCACGGAGGAAATTAATTCAGGATGAGTGAAAACAAGTCCAAAGTGTCTCTGCACGTCTTTGCTTGACAGATGCTTCAGACCGTTTTTTCAGTGTATGAGAAATAGCTCCAACAGGCACAAAAACACACAGTATTCACGCACTGTGCCCTGTTGGGTTTGGAGCACGCCCAGCGGTGTACACTGAGAACATTTCCTAACAATGGCGGTAAACACCTTCACTTTTATAGGAATGCATTATGCAAACATAACATGGACCAAAACAAGATTAAACACAGGTCTTTAACTAGATACCAGCGATGTCTGCAATAGCTGCAAACAGTCGCCTGCTAACCATACTCACATGTTCTGGTCCTGTGGAAATATTTAACACACTTGGGACAGTATTTGGCATGAACCTTAACCCTGAACTTCTCACGGCTCGATCTGGAGTCCGAACACCTGCAGCATCTAATTTCCCATTGAGAAAACCGAGTGTTCTGCTCTATTTGCTAAACGCCTCATTTTATTTAAGTGGAAGCACTCTTTCCCATCCGCTCACACAATAGTTGGCTCACGGAAATCCTAAATCACATCAAACTTCTAAAATATATGATTTTCACTTACAGACGCCAGTAAATCTTTTGACAATACCTGGAAGCCCTTTATGGAGTATCTGAATAAGGCTCCCATCCATCTGGATGACAACTTTGTTTTTTGTTTTGATTATTTGTCTGATGAATGTGCTTATTTCCCTTCCATTTAACATCTGTTTTTCCATAGCTGGGAATGTAAAGGTTGGATGGGAGATAAGAAGTCTTGCTATTGTTTATTTGTCCTGTCTGGCAAATCAGAGATGAGTTCATCCTGACATCCTAGATTATTTATTGTGCACCCTTATGTTGCACCAGTATTGTGGACGAAAGTTTAGGCATCTCTTGACTAATAACATATTTTGTTTTTTTATTTTATTAAAAATATGTAAAAACAGCCTCTCTAGTATATAGAACATAAAACAATATTTCCAGCAAACATTAATGCAAAGTTATGTTTTAAGGAAAAAACTGAACAAAAGTAATAAAATAAATAAATAAAAACAAACATATGCGAGTTTGGACACGGTACATTGCGAGTACTACTTATGGTCCATATCTTAGAGAGACTTTGTTTACTTATTTTCAATTTTAAAAAATCAAAACATTTTGTCAACGAGTGCAAAAATATGGATGCAATAATTCTCGGACAACAGTGGGAAATGCATATCATTATAAATGATTCTGATTTATATTTATATATCGGATTGTAGCCGATAAGTTATTGGTCGTTTGTTTTATGAAGGTTTTTTGATGTTCTTTACTAGAAAAAATAATTTAACATTTGAAAAGCATTGAAAATTGTTTGTTTTTGTTGTGTTAACAAAAATGATGTCAGTTATATTTGGTTGGCTATGAAATATTACATCATCAATCTTTGCTCACTACATCTCAGCCTTTCTTACCCTGTATAAACATCCATCCAGCATAGAGGAGAGAGGACTTTCTGTCTAGCGACCAACATACCCGCTGATGATAACGCTGTCGTCAAACAGGTAGACCTTGATGTGCTGGACTCCGATGGTCTCGTTGAAGCGCTGCGGGACCAGCAGCCGCAGCAGCCCCCTCAGGTCTGGAGTGTGGTACAGAGACACCCGCATCTGAGAGGTGAAGCGCTGCAACAACGGCAGCAGCATCGTCCTCGAGTTAATCTGTCCTGCAAGTAAAAAGAAAAATCACACGACACAATCAGGACGACGAGCGAGGTGCTAGCCAGCGACAAAGAGATCTCACGGACAGACAACAACCTCGGGAGCCGCGTGTGTAGTCCAGCAATATGTTGACTTTTAGATCAGGAGCATGAATGTTATCCTGTGAGCGTTGTAGAGCTTCCTCCATACAGTCCACCTTAACAAAGCAGAAGACAAACACCAGAAGATGATTAAGGTATGAATGCACTTTAACATTATTGGACAAAAAGGATCAAACTTGATGCACCAGAACCAGAGAAATCATCTTCATTTATACTTTTTTCTCACCGAAACCCTGAAGCCTACATTTCCCACAATGCAACTCGACTGCAGAGAGTTTGTTCAGAGGTTCGGGTTTGTTTTGCTGGTAGCTTCTTCCTCAAATACGAGCCTCAAAGCAGAGATTAGGAGCTAAATTTGCTTCTTTCTACAGATTTTGTTCATCAATCAAACTCGCAGTCTTTTGCCTCAACAGCTGCTGACTCAAGTGACATCACTTGAGGTAATTTATCCAACTTCGGAGCTCCCTCTGGAGCCACAAAAAGCTTTAAAACAGTCGTATTACAGGTGTTGGGGAGTACTAATCTGTATATGAATCAAACGTGATGTGAAGAACTGGTGGATTTCCTCTAACAGAACAGATTGCTGACTTGTGGGAAAGTTTCTCAAACAGACACTTAAAGTTTCAGTGTTCAACCATCGACTGCACAAAGCTGTCTCAAATAGGACTAATATGTATAGCTGAGACAATTAATCACTTAGTTGATCAGGAGAAATCTAAAATCAGCAAACATTTTTAAGTCATTTATTATATGAAGATTTGCTGCTTTTCTCAGTTTCATATGTTTGTAAATTTAATCTTTTTGGGTTTTGAAGCATTGGTCGGACAAAACAAGACATTTGAACACGTCTCTGAGGACTTGTGATGGTAATTTTTCACTTTTTTCTGTCATTTTGCAAACTAAACATTTGATGATGATGACAATAATCATCAGTTGCAGTCTGAATTTGGAATAAATGACTCTAAACAAACATCTGGAACTGGACTTTAAGCTGCTCAGCTGTCTTCATTCCAGCAGAAAACTTCTGTTAAAGACATTTTACTTTCCCGTTGTCTGTAATCTCTGTCTCCTTGTTTAACAAACCACAAACTGTGGTTTGTTTTCCTCTTCAGCAGGTGACATCTGTTGTTATTCTTGTTCTCTGGATGCCTTAAAACAAGGTGGACTAGATATTACACTCCTACTGCTTTTTTATTTGTTCCAGGATGGAACCGCAGAAACAAAGTAATAGATTAATGATCACTGATTAATTGGCAGGAGACAACATTTATCAAACACCGGCAGCCCTTTTATTATCGGTTTACTGAGCGTGGGAACTCAAAGAGGAAATGGTTGCTCTTCAGAGGGCACTACTGGTAGTAAACGTAGAGTCTTTATTTGTGTTGAGCTCAGCCTTTGTTCCCCACCTGATTATTTTTATTTTTTTCCTACTTTGGCTAAATTGTGCATCTGGGGCCCAAACACATTCATTTACGTCACTCCAGAGTGCCTGTTTGCATGCCAGTAAAACGAGTCTTCTTTCCAGCAGAGAGCTCTTTTGGGGGAAGTCTACTCCACCGACACTTCCAGCTCTGCTCCGGACTGAAATGTGATCATGAGTCGGAGCGCCGGGAGACACTTATGAATGTGCTCATCCTTTGAAGCACAGAAGCAGCATTCAGTTATTATGCTTTGTAAAAGACTAAACACCCACAAATCCAGAGAAAGATGTTCGCCCTCAGTGACTTATAAGTCAATCTTGAGCATTTAGACTATGGGTGTTAAATTACTGGTCAAGGGGCCAGATCCGGTCTGTGAGACAATTTCTTTAGTCCCCCCAGCTTTTTGTTTTAGAATAATCAATTATTTGATAGATTTAGACAGAAATAAAGGACAGACTGTCTTATTTTCTTTAAGTTCTTGTTTTATCTTCAAGGTCATTTTAATTCCACAGGTTTTATTTAGTTTTGTTTACATGCATTTTTTTTATCCTTTGTTGTCTTTTAAATGTATTTCTTATTGATTTATTTGAAAGAGTATGTATTTACAATTTAGCGATGCAGCAGAGATTCTTCTTCCCTGTCAAAACCTGGTGCCTACATTACCCACAATGCAACCTAACCACAGACACTTATGGCAGTAGATTCGGGATTATTGTGCCAATGTATCCTCGAACTGCTGGCCTCAAGCAGAGATGAGGAGCGAGCTGCAGAGGTCCGTTAAACTCACTTCTTTCTATGGATTCTTTCAAACTTTCAAACTGGTAGTCGTCAACGGAAACGGACTCAAGTGACATCACTTGAGGCGATATCAGGTGTTTCCTCTGGAGCCACAAAAAGCTTTTTAAACAACCTTTTAAAAACGTCTCCCGTCAATAGCTAGATTTTCTAAAGCCTGAAAACTGAGCCAAGAGCAGGTGCAGAAGTCTAATTGACTTTAATGTTACAGCATGCTGAAAGGTAATAACGCCAAAAAAAACCTAGCTTCTAAAGATAAATACGGCTTTCTTTAACATTTAGTTTATTCTCAGAGCCTGCACCTGTGCTTAAATAAACACAGTGCGACTGTCAGTATCAATCAAGCACCCTTTGTGCTGACCCTGGGACCGGGGGTTGTGTTAATACATCCAGGCTTTACCTGCAGTTTGCATTCTTCAGTCTAAACCACAGACCTGAGCTGTACTGCTCAGCTCATTGTGTCCAATTACAACGAAACCTGGGCTTAAAAAATAGAAAGTCACATGGACTCAATGCACCTTATTGACTCAACGTTTCTAGTAATCCATCATCCTGTGAGGTTCCAGAGTTTGGCAGCAATCACAGCTGATCCAAATGCTTTTATCTGTAATTAAGCATGTTTGACTTGTCTGTGCTTTTTTTTTTTCTGTAATTCTGCTGCTCGTACCCGGTCGAAAAAAAACCAACAAACCCATGAAAAACAGCTGGATGTGAGCGTCAGTCCAGACTGTGGTTTGTTCTGGGTTAATGTTGTTATGCTAGGCTTTCCAAGCATGAAGAACAGCAGGCTATCGCATGCCAACACTGGTCTCCTTCTTCCCATAAACCCTTGCATTTTGGGGTCATTCCTTGTAGTTGGCCAGGAGTACGTTTTCATTCCGAACAAACCCTCACTGCGGTTTCACTTGGAAGACAACACTGACTCACATTTTCTGGCATCTCTGACCAGTTATTTGGCACACGCTCGTGTTTGGATGCCATTGTTCTCACCTGCCCAAAAACTTTTAAAAAAAAGGTGTTGAAGAAGAATCGGCTTCTCACACATTGCAAACAAAATAATAAAAAACCACCACTTTTTCTCACCAGCTCCTGCTCCAGCTGACCTGTTCCCAGATACAACGAGGCCATGACCACTCGCCTCTGTGCAGTCTTGATTCGTGCCTGAAGCGAAAAAGAGAAGCAAACAAACAAAAGGTGAACTAGTGTGTGTGTGTATGTGTGTGGGTGTTTGTGTGTGTTTGTGTGAGTGTTAAGAATCTGCTCGCAAATGTCTGATAGTAAGAAATGATAGACAGTAAACAGAAGGTACATTTCCTGCCAGTAAACATGCTTATTCTGCATTAAGCAAACCACACACACACACACACACACACACACACACACACACACACACACACACACACACACACACACACAACACACACGACCTTTGAACTACAATAATACATCATATTTTATTCATTTATTATATTTTTTATTGCTAATCTTAATCTGGAAAGGAATTAAATACATATAGTGGAGTAAAAAATTTCAGACTAAGATACAAGTTTAACGTAGATTAACTCCACTTTTTCACAACAAGCACATGAACTCATTTTGTTCTCGTGCGTTGCTGCTTTGCATCCACCCGAGTCATCGTGATACAACACCGAACGCCAACCAGCCCGGTGACAATTAGAGATGGGAAACAATAAAGCACGTGTGCCAAAAGCGATAAATGCAACAATGCAATGCCATTCAGAGGGAACCTTACTAGCTCTCAGTGTTATGGGGAAGTCATTAAAAAATAAAACCAATGACAATCACACCCATTTACACACCCCTGTAACATGTTTTTACACAAATTATGACTCACAAGATACATTTAATGCATGATGGCTTTCAACAAAGACCCGTCTGAGGAGATCAGGGCTGTAAACTCTGTCTTAGTGTTTTATTTTAGTTCATTTTACTGTCTTTGTGTTTGGTAATGTGTTTAGTTTAATGGCTTTTTAGCTCATTTTACTCTCTTTAAATAGGTTCTGTTTTATTGTAAATTAATTATTATATGAGGTATTTGTATAAATAATTATATCTGGGGTCAAAAAGATCACAGAATCAGACACACAGGAGATAAATTATTCCAACATTAGTACCACAGAGCTTATTTTTCCCTGAATTCTTAATGTTTAAGTTAAATATTGGCTTTGTATGGAGGGAAGCTCCTGCCTGTCTGCCACAACAGCAGCATACAAACCGCAGCAAATTCCTGTTTCTTTGTTCCTGTAAAGACTGAACCGGCTAAAATTAGAGGAAACATAAAAGGATTCCAATGTGGTGACAAACCGCAGGTGTGGAACTACGCAAAGAAACTAAAATATAAAACTCCAGTTTGTAACTCTGCCAGATCTTTGATTCAAACTGTAAATTTTGCGCCTCTCTTTAAAAACAGCTGCAGCTGATTCAGAAGGCTGCTGAGGAAGTCTTTACATACATATAAATACATTTATGACCTTCTGCTACGTTATGAACCGTTCGGACCCCCCTCAGGTCACCTGTTTTCTGCCCCCAAAGTTTCATGCACAAATATCTGGAACAAACTCACAGGAAACGGCTGCAACTCTCACTTCTTTTGAATGAAGGCTGAAGACTTTTCCGTTTGCTCCTTTTATTAAATCAAATTTGAGGCTTTTGATTACACTGCACTTAGAGCTGGGCGATAAAGCCTAAACACACCATATCCTGGCAATGTGAAACACCTCCAGCATCACCCTTCTGCTCATATTCATCTCAAACTCTCCTTCGTTATCTTACTTAAGCCTTTTTAATTGTATTTAAATCTCCTCTCAAATCGTCTTATGTTGCTTTTACATTGTCTTAAATAGTTTAAGTAAACCACTTTGAGCTGCCTTTCTTGTTGAAATGTACTAAACAAATAAACTTGAAGGGCTACTGAATGATTCACTAATGCAGTAAAATTAGTTTTAAAGCAGATTAGTTGTAACGTAGACATGTAGAGGAGACAATTAACTCCTGTGAGCTGCAGCGTGATACTCGCTGCCAACTCTGGCGTTGCAGAGTAAACAGTCAGAGCCTGCTGGGAAAACACTTAAAATACCTAAAGTACTTTCTCTGCCTCACTTGTTATCCGTCATTATACATGGAACATCTGTGAAAAGTCAATATTGGCCGTTTATTTTGTTTCAATCAACCAACACTTCCGTGACACGGACCTTCATGGCCTGGTAGAACTGGTCAGGTGAGGTGAGGATGTGGATGTGGGTGCCGGGCACCCGGAAGGCGGGTACGTGCTCTGCCATCCATCGGAAGTGGGTGCAGAGACCGTCTGTGCCCTGAGCTCCTGCCGACCCGGTGGGCCTGGAGACACGTCTGGGAGCCGGGTCGGCTTCAGCCAGGAGGGGAGCCAGCAGCAGCACCGAGGACCTGGAGGAAGCACAGAAACATTTTTAGACATTGTGAGCGCTAGCCAGCCGATAGACTGATGCTCTATGATGATCTTATATTGACCTTCAGTGTAAATGTATCTTGATAGCTCCTTATAATTTACTATTGTTGGTTATGTCACACATTCACTGTCATTAGACTCTTTTCAGATCCTCTTAGCAGCTTAATTCCTAAAAAGAAACTAGTGACTAATTTAGCAACTTATTCAGACATTCAGGGAAAAGGTGAGAAATATATTGTATGTATACACAGATCAGCCACAACATTATGACCTCAGGTGAAGTGAATAACACTGATTATCCGGTTATCATGGCAGCTGTCAGTGGGTGGGATATATTAGGCAGCAAGTGAACATTTTGTCCTCAAAGTTTTGGGGTTTTAGTGACTTTGACAAGGGCCAAATGGTGATGGGTGGACGACTGGGTCAGAGCATCTGCAGCTCTTGTTCCTGGTCTGCAGTGGTCAGTAACTACCAACTCTATTAGAAATAAAGAAGAAACTCACCCAGTGACTAAAAAGAATAATAAAAAAGTGCTTGTGGTTAAACACACAGGGTGATAGAAATGTTTTATTCAGATAAGTTCAGGGAACGACGAGCAGAACTTCTATGACGGACCAGAATGAGTCAATGAGAGTTGAATTTCGGGACAGTTGCAGGACACCGAGGGAAAAAAGTTAATTTCAAGCCGCTCTACGGTGGAAAATAAGACTCGTGTCTATGGATGTGTCTTGCTTCCAGTTTGCCTGGAGAGACATTGTCAGACAAAACGAGACAGTTGTGCCATCTATCACAGAACAACAATACTTTCTTAGGTAACTTGTTTTTGTACCGTGTTGCAGCCGCCAGCGGACTCTCAAGTGTCAGGCCTCAGAGCTTCCCATGAACACACCTCAATACTATAACATATCACATGACACTTAACATGACAGGGAAGCTCTGCAGACAACATCTGCCAAAGGTTGGTTGGTATTTTTTGGGTAAACTAAGAATGCAGCTAACGATTAGTATCATCATGGACAAATATGCGTATTATTTTCTGGACTAACTGTCAGGAAATAGTGAAAAATGTCCTTTATGACTTCCCACAGCTCAAGATGACGTCATTCAAGGCTCTAGTTTTGTCCAATACCAAAAGATATTTAGTTTACTATCATGAAACTAGCAAATATTTGGAATTTAATCTTTAAAAAAGAACAGAAAAGAACAAATTTCTGTCGAACAATGATTCGATTCATTCAATCTTTAAGGACACATAACCCTGAGAAAGTTTTATAGAGTGTCTAGTTGTTCTTCCTCAGTGTCCTGAATTTCACCAGAACACCACATCCCCCTTTTGTCTCTGCTATACAATCTCACCATTTAGTCTGACAATGCAACCACATTAAATAAAGACAGGCTGGAGTGTGTTAACCTCAGACGTGACTGCAACCGTCAGAGGCTGATTGTCAGGAGTCAGTCGACTGAATTCCTTTACATTCACTGGGATCAAGTTTCGCCCAGAACACACACAAGCACACATTCACGTGGTTTACAGTTTCTGGTTTTGGCGTCTACAAGAAGTGGGAGTCACATTAAAAACAGAAAACATAGCTCAGGGCTTCTTTCCAAAGCCACTGTGCTGAGTTGGAAGATCTGCAGCACAAGGGGGATTTCTCCGTTGTTTGGGATTTAAGTCTTATCATAAACACGCATATATAAAGAGTGATATGATAACCAAAAAAAAAGATGACTTCCTCATACCCATACAGATTATGTATTTTATAGTGGTGCAAGACATCCAATTTGGTAACCGAGTTACGTAATGGGACGGACCTTTCAGCTGACACCTAAGCTTTTACAATTTGCTGGAATTGGTCGAATATAAAGACAGTACGATGGGAGATAAGGAGCATATCAGGACTGAGACAAGCAATATAAAGTCAACGATTACCTCAAGCTACAGGTAGCTGGGAGAACTTGCGTCCCTAAGCACTAACGCTGAGTCCTTGCTGCCTGTCATCTCTCTCTCTCTCTCTCTCGTTTCCTGTCTATCTTAAGCTGTCACTATCCAAATAACGATGAAACAGCATTATAATAAAGTGCTTCAGTTCTGAAGAGGCGCCCTGCCCTACAAATCTCGTTCTCCGAGTTTAAGAGAGCGTGTTTTTTTTTTTTTTTTTTACAGATGCCAACAAATGTCACATCATCATGACTTTTATTTTTTAAATTTAAATTTCTGACGCAAAAACATCAATCCTATATCATATCGCAATATCTGTCAAAATAAATCACAATATGATGTTTTAACCACATTGTCCAGCCCTATAATAAAAAGAGAAAACTCAGAGGTGGATTTGTTAATCCCCCAGAAGGGTAGAAACAAAAGGAAAGAGCTGTTGAATGTCGTACACTCAGTATCAAACATGCTGTAATATGGTTAATGATGCTATATAAGTAAAAGATCAATCCAGCAGCGGAGCGCATTACAAAGAAGAGCAATTTCATCGCCTGAGATGAAGTTAACAGCAATGAATAGAGGAGCTGTTTACTTTGGTATGCGGCTGCAACACATCCCTCCTGATCTGAAGCATGTGACAGGAAAAAAATCAAATAAAATGTTGTCTGCCTGTCTGTCTTCCTCAGAATCCAAATTCCCCGAATGGGAACTTCGCTTTGCATCCTTAAAGGATTTCCTCATTCTTCTCAACGGATCTCGACTCATTTAGCCCACCGGAATAACTGGTTTTATTCTGCTTTTATAAAGTTCTCTTAAGATGCAGAACAATATCATAAAATTAATTTAAATTAAAAAGTAAAAGGACCCAAACCAAGAAAAACTGACCAAAAGTACATAAAACTACGCGTCTACATGCTTCTGGCCATAAACTGTATCATACTGTGATATTAATTAATATAATTAATGTATATTGATGTAAAGAAGTCTTCATAATTACTTTAATATGAACATAAAAACCTAGTTAACAGGTTACAGGTTACACACATTTTGTATCTTTGCTTTGTACTCTATTAGGGGTAAAAGGCCCGGAGGACACGATGCAAGAAGAAAGTTCTGGTAAAAAAGATAAGTAGATAACAGATTCTTTATTTAGGCTCCACGCCCAAAACTTCCTTTTCATAAACAGACCAATGATGCAGGAACTGCACTTCACGCTTATTTCCCCAAAACAGCCTCAGACTCTTCTGCGCTGTTTTAAATTCTGGTGTTAAAACGGCCTCTTTTATTCTCAATGGACAATTTTTCACAGACGACTTGACTCAATAGAGCAAACAAAGGGTGTAAGATTATACTCATTTAATTCTCATTATCAGTCATAATCTGTCGTTTAGTTGACGTTCATTTGTTTTGTCCACAACCCAGAGAGATATATCCAGTTTACTTTCATAACCCAAAAATAACAAACTTACTCAAACAAAGGGAATTCTTTTAGTCAAAATCCTCTCAAATTGGGGATCTGTGGTCTAATGTTCTATTGTCGGGGACAAAAACGAGTCAGGGGTCCAACTTTTTAACAACAAACGGTCATAAAAACTGTGGTTTTCACACAAATTAACTTCATTCATTCGGCCTCATAAGTAAGAAGTTTAAATAAAGTATAAATATATTTTATTATGAAGTAAATTCATCTTTTAGAGAAAAAAAAAACCCAACAACATCACTGTTTTATGTCGATTAAGGTGGAACTCACTTGATTATCATTTAATTCTTTCTAATTATCTGTTTACATTTACTTTGTATATAGGCTCTTATTATCTTATTATATGTATTTATTTTCACATTTACTAAATGTATGTACCTATACATTAATTTATATTCTATATATCGTGTTAGATATTGTATATAAGTACTATTTCTGCAACGTTGTGTGAGTGGAACAACTTTATTCCACCAAATAATCAAGTTTTAAACTAAATTACACAGCTGAGTTTGAGCAGGGGCTAAAATAACAAACATTTCCAGGATATTTGGTCATTTTAATCGATTTCCAGGTGTTTTAATGACTGGAAAACTAGTCTGTAAATCTCCAGGTTTTCCAGGACGATTAATAAAAATAATTTGAGTATAAAAATAATTTAAAGATTAATTCAAAAGCTGACAACTAGACGATTAATGGATTATTTCCAGGTGTATTAGGCTGGAATAAAGTCTTTATTAATGTTATTACACCTGAGCTGTGACCACAGAGGACAAAAGGTGTTTCATACCAGGTGGCCACCACACCTGTCTCTCTCTCTCACCTGTCTGTCTCTCTCTCATTTAACCCGCAGGTGTGCAAATCAATCAGATCACCTGTGTAACGGCAGGAACACAGGTTGTGTGTGTGTGAGACAGAGAGAGAGAGACAGACAGGTGGTTAAAGAGAGAGAGACACATGTAACCGAGGAGGAACATCGTGTACCTTCCAGTTTTCTATCTGTAGAAGATAACGGACTTTAAAACTCGTTCATTTTCACCCAGAATAATCATTATGAACTGCTGTGTTTTACATTTTAGGACTCAAAAGATAAAATAAATAAAAATAAAAGTGGGATCCTTTGACTGACCGCGTTAGCATTAACCACATTAGCGTCTCTAAACAAGTGTTTAATGGGTTTTATGCTCCGTGTCTGAGCCTCCGCGGATGAACCGAGTCTCCTACCCTCCTCTCCTGTCCCGTGTGCGGAAGAGTCGGTCCGATATTCGGGTGAACACCCCGGCGACGGCCGGTGTGTACACAGACTGCACCAGCCTCCTCCAGGACATGGGAGCCGCCATTGCTGCAGCAGAGAGACTTTGAATTAACTTTATTGACACAGACACCCTGTGTTAGACAGTGAGAGCTGCACTGAGCAACATATTTGGTTATTTAAACACGCAATAAATCCAATAAATTATATATTAATGATTGTTTATGTCTGTTTATGTTTTTTAAATGACCTCTAGTGGTCAACCTGCAAACTATATCTTATCTTATATAAATAAAGTTAAACTAAACATTGTGGGTTGATTTGTATATTCACAGGCTTCTGAGTGCACTTATTGGAAACACTGTGGTTGAACTTTAGCCCCACATTACCTGTTGAAGGTGTGTCCTCTGCTTTCCACATTTCCCGTCTGCAGAACAGTGTTTAATGTCTGAAGGTGTTTGTTTCAGCCGGCAGACTCTCAGTTCCTCTCAACAGGAGAGGACCTTAAACCTGCTGCACACAGTGGATGCACACAGTGGATGCACACAGTGGATGCACATTATTGTACTGCAAACACACTATTAGTACACCAGTAACTGTCTGTTATATTACTTTTATGGTGTCCTTCCCTTTGATTGTGCAGGAAAGTCACCAGTTTCTCATCTCCAGTGAAAGTAATGAGTAAAAAAATTTAATTTTCAGGTACTTGTACTTAACTTATAGTGATTTTTCTACTGCTTTATATTAATACTCTGTATCTCAGAGGGTAATATTGTAGTTTTTACTGCACTACATTCACTTCGCTCCTCTATTAAAGCGTTTAAAAACCTGTAATGGGCTTAAATTACCCAACAAATACGTAATAATAACCTCAAAACCAATAAAAAGAAGGACTTAATAAAAGCTCAGATATAACATGAGAATGCTGCTCACACTTAAATGCACCAGTAATAATAATTAAACAATATTTATAACATTTCCATTCTGCGTAATAAGTTATACTTTTACTTTTGATACTCTTTGTGCATTTTGCTGATAATAATAAAACTTTGTATAAACTGTGACTGTGAATGCAGCACTTTCTGCCTGTGATGGAGTATTTTAAGGTCAGGATCCAGCATGCAGCACTGCTGGTTGTTGCTCAAGAGCACTTACAGTAAGTCAAATGCTTCCTGACGCAGCTGGAGGACCTGAGGGAGATTATCTTTAAACATTAGCCAACTTGAAGCAGGTAAAATGTTAATCATCCGTCATGTTGTGAAGAAATGGAGAAGACTCATAACCGTCTTCTGAAGCCTGAGCTGAACATTTATATTTTGACTCTCTTAAGGTAAGAATTTACTTCAGGAAATAAACTGTTTAAATTAAATAAAAACTTATTAAAGAACATGGCATTCAAAAGATATACACAGTACTATATATATATTACAACAGTATACACTATTGCAGTGGTAGAAAATAACATTTATTTAGCCACAAGCACATTTTAAGTACAATTTTGAAATACTTGTGCATTCATTTCCATTTAAAAACTACTTTATGCTTCATTTCAAAAGTAAATATTCGACTTCTAACTTTACTATATTTAACCCTCATAAAGCTTAATGCATATACTTTTACTTCTTCTTATACAAACGTGCATTTTACTTACATTACTTATTTTTTAATGCAGGAATTTGACAAAGTATTGCTTCTAAATTTGTACTAGATTATTCAGATTATCACTTAAATTCACCACTGTGTGAATGAACACGTGCATATAGTTGCACAAAGCCTTTGATTCATAAATAAAACTATTATTATTATTATGATGATGATGATGATGATGATGATGCTATAGGCTATAAGGAGGCATTGCACACTATTTACTCTCACTATCTCCATCTGCCAGTAAAATCAGTCATAAAACAATCCAGCAGATAATATTTGATATTCTTCCACATGTGTTTCACCTTGTGAAGAAAGGGAACCCACCAGTACCAGGAAACAGCCCGGCAAAGGTCACACTGATTATTTATTGGCAATCTGCCATAAAGGAGAGCGCGAGCACGCGGGGAGGCCGTCTGTTCTTTTTCTTTTTTTTGGAGCGTGCGTGCGTGAGCGTGCGGTGCGTGCGTGTGTTTACTGGAAGAACCTCTGAACGGAGGAGGCGGAGCCTTACGAACATCGGCTTTAGTCACTGGAAACAACCTCCAGTAACCTTCCTCCCCTCACGGACGGGATCTCTCCGGCACATATCCCCCGCCGCCACATTCCTCCGCTCAGGAAAAAGAAACCCACACACACGTTTCTGGATACTTTTTCTTTGGATTTTAATGCCTCATTTAATAATTCAACTAGCACTACTCTCGGGTAGTTTGCATATATTTTCCTTTGGCGACGAGCGGCTGCGGCGCGGGGCTGAACATATCCGCAAGGTAAGTTTATAAAAGATATACAAATAAACCTAAAGCGACCGTAATTTAAGTGGATTAAATGTGTTTGGATTATAGTGCAGATTAAAAGCAGTTGTTGTGCAGAGGCTGTTGGTGCAGTGCAGCCGAGCGAGAGGGTGCAAAGTGGGAGATTTCTTTTTTGGAGAGGGGGAATATTGTTGAGTAGTGGACCGACTTTATTATACCAGCGGCTCTGAAGCGGCTCCTGAGTCGTTATGGTGCCTCCTGCTTCAAGCCCCGCACTGTCCGGTGACTTTAATTCCCCCCCTCCACCACCTCCCTCTTACAGCCTACAGGGGATCCGAGCAAACCCAACCAGACGGGACACCTTTTTAGTCACAGTGAAACCGGAGAATGGAGCCTCTGTATCGCTGGTCGAGGAGGGAATAAGGACTTTATTTAGTGAAAGAGGTAAAAAAAAAAAAAAAAAAAAAAAGCGCGCCGGACTCTTTCACAGTGACCCCGTTTCTGAAATCCCTTGTTGCGGTACGCCCGATCGAAGACAATTGAAAGCAATCAGGATCCAGTTGCTGTCTGGCTGCACGGTGCAGCAGCAGGAGGAGCAGGAGGAGGCTCAGCGTGAGGATTCATTTAAACTAAATATAAACCTGCCTGCTCGCTGCCCAGTTCTGCCTTATGCATTTGTCACAGTCGGTGTAACTGCATTTTATAAGGGTGGATAGGAGAGAGGAGGGGGGGTAAACTGAGAAGCTCCAGTGTGGCAAAGTGGTAATTTATTTACGTCCTTGTTTATGAATGACTGTCTTTGCATGATCAGTCTATATATAGGTGGATATTTCTAATCCCTGCTCCATCCTCCCTCTCTCTCTCTCCAGCTGTATTTAGGTGCTCTCTCCCAGCCCCTCTCTGGATGCATCAGACTCCTCTCCCCCGGGGCCCTGGACCCGGTGTGTGACCCCGCCACCCTCACCCCACTCCCCCTCTCTTTCCTCTCCCTCCGCCCCAAACTCCTTCCCACCTGCCCACCTCGACGCTCCCGTCCTGGGCCCCCTGCCTCTCGACCAGCGGGCAGAGGCAGGGGGCCATGGCGCCATGGTAACCTTCAGCGGACGCAACCCCCTCGCCATGAGCAGCGTGACCCCTCCGGAGGGCAGGGTTCAGGGGTCGAACTTCACCCCGCATCACTTCAAGCCCTTCAGCTCGCATGCACACTACCAGCAGGTCAGTCACACCTGAGTTTGTAGAGAACAAGTCCAAAAACTCTGGTGGATAACACATAACAAATGTTTTCTACTCATTTCAGGTGATGCGTGCATTGCGTAAGCTTCAGGAAAGTGGGTTCTACTGGGGGGCTGTCGGGGGCCGGGAAGCCAGCTCCATGCTGCGCTCCGAACCACCCGGCACCTTCCTGATCCGCGACTCCTCGGACCACCACCACTTCTTCACCCTCTCTGTCCAGACGGCTCGGGGAACCAAGAACCTGCGCATCCACAGCGAGGGAGGCGGCTTCTTCCTGCAGCCGGACTCCCAGAACACCCAGGAGCCCCCGCAGTTCGACTGCGTGCTGAAACTCATCGCGCACTACATGGGCAAAGGGCCGGATGCCGAAAGGAGCAGAGACGGTGCGTGTGGGGGGAATTCGGGAGAGGCGGAAATGAAGGGACGCAGCGTGTATCTGATCCACACCGGCGGCGAGAGGATTCCCTTGGAACTGCGCCGGCCCCTCTCGACTTCTCTCTCGTCCCTGCAGCACATGTGCAGGAGGACCCTGAACAACCGAGGCCTGGGGGGGTCGGAGCGAGACGAGCAGATCCCGCACACAATTAGAGACTTTCTGGAGGAGTACGACGCTCCTATATGACTGACAGGAACCGCAGAGGTTCCACTTCATGGACTTGGACGTGAATACACGCGGCACCAGATACTGACCAGAGTTAGCCTTAGACGCCTGTGTGAGGTCAAGTGTTTCATTGTGACCAGAATCAGCTGATTCCAGATCTGTTTCACCACTGACCCACCAACCCGGGGTCTGGGATGAGGAGTGTGATTTGGGCAACCAACGATTACCTCGTCCGTCCTGCCTTGCATAAAACTGACCACTAAGTGTGAGTGGCAGATGAAGCCAGAGGTCAAGGGTCAATGTTTTTTTGTTTTTGTTTTTCCTATGACTGACTCAGACGCAGAGCAGAGCCTCGTAGAAGATTAACCTGATTGGTAGATATTAACGATGACAGCGACGACATGATCAATACACCCCCAACCTAACCGCCTTGTGGGTTTGATGTGCTCAAGAAGAAGAAGTCCTCCTCCTCCTCTTCCTCCTCCGGCAGCCTGACATTTACAACACTTTGGATCACTGGACAGAAAGAAAGACGGCAAAGAACAGAAAGGCTTAGAGGGGGGGTGAACGAAGGAGGAGTTATAGAGAAAAGGCAAAGTCCAAACGTGGGACCCGATGCAGCATCGAACGTAGAGTATTTGTTTGTCTGAGTGTGTGTGTGTGTGTGTGTGTGTGTGTGTTTGTGTGTTGTGGTAGCGCACACATTTCCATTGCTGCTTCCCGCAAGTGCTGGCCTCATGGAGGGGGGGGGGGGCGGGGTGGTCATGCACGCTGGCGTTTTGCACGCATACAAACAGGTACAGACCCACATGCAGGTTTTTGTGTTAGCGTGGGAACAAGAGCGGGAGGGGCGTCACAAAGCATCTTCTCCTAGTTTGTTTCTCGGTTCTCCTCCTCCGTTCTCCTGCCCTCCTCTCTCTCTTTTGATTCGGAGTTGCATGTGCGCTTTGACAGTGACGGAAAACAGACTTCTGTTGCCGAGACAAAAGCTTGTTACTGAGACAAAAGCTTTGGCACAGGACCAAACAAAACAGCGGAACTTATTTTTATCCAGACTGGCTGGAAAAATGTCAGCGACACTGTAAAGCTCCTCGGGGAACCAAGACAACGGCGGCGATGATGATCCTAGAGATTTGGTGAGGGGGGGGAGGAGGAGGGTGAGAAGAAGGATGGAGTGAAGGAGAAAAAGAGAGGAGCGGGAAATGGGATTAGGAAAAAGGAAACTGAAGAGGACAGAGAACTGGGGAGGGGGGCTAGGGTATGGGGAGAAGTGGGAGGAGACATACTGGTATACAGCTAAACAAAAACATCAATGTGATTGATGTCCCAGACTTAGAGGAAATGATTGAGCTCAACAGGATGCTGCTCCTGTAAATATAAAGATAGGTTTGCGAAGAAGAAGAAGAAGAAGCCCCCTCATGAAAAAGAAAAGTTTTATCTGAGTCTTAATTCTGCCTTTTTTCAGACCCTCTCACACTTCATTTCTTCTTCACATCATCATCTCAAACTTCTTTTTGTGTGTGTGTTTCGAGTGAGTGTCTTGTCTGCGTTTGGTGGAAAGAGACAAGAGAGGAAGTGAACTGTTATGTGGACGGTTTAATCCCTGTAACTTTAGAAAGGTTTCTCACCTCCCGCCGACCTTCCACTGTTGCCTCTGAATTCAGAGTCGGGTTTTTTTTTGTCTGTCTGAATGTCAAAGGGAACACAAGACTTCCTTTAAAAAAAAAAAAAGTGGTTCTTTTAAAAAAAAAAAGAGAAAAAAAAGCCTTTTGTAAAACAAAGTACAAGGATTTAATCAAAGATATTGTTTTTCTGTCTGTGTTTGACCAGTGCTTATACTTACCTGTGATCCATATTGGAGTGGTAGCCTTTTTCACATCCTTAAAACATTTTGTGATCTCATGTGGCCACTTCAGACAAGAGCACTGAAATATACCATAGTGATAACAGATTATTATTATTTTTTTTTTATTTTATTTGTCAAATCTCAGTCTTATTTTTCCTCACATCAACACCAAGTTTTTTTTTAATTTTTATTACATGTGTCGCACCAGTGGACCACACGTGTATGTGAATCATTTGTCTTTTATAAAGACTCTCTCGCAAAAAGGCTGGCCACTAGTCTGGCAAAAATACAAGCTGTAATATCTGAAATGACAAAGCATTACAAAAAAAAAAGAAAATAAATGAAAAGGAAAACGTTGCACATATTTATATTTCTAAAATATTTCAATAATTTATATTAAAGAGCACTATTTTTACAAAAGTCAATGGATTTTGCCCTGTGTGTTACTTCACTGTGTCTCCTCTTTTCTCTCTCTCTTACTTCACTGAGTCAATATTGACTTGATAAGCTCCAACTTACCGTAATATATTGTAAGGCAGTCTGTATTCCAGCAATGCCCGGCCTCTCAACCAGATTATTAACTGACAAATGGGATTTCCTAGTCGAACAAAGCGAGTGTTTACTCAGTCAGCTCAGGCTTTTTTTATTTATTTTATTTAAAGAGCCGGACCCAGGGGCCCTGCGAGCTGCGTGAGGACGATGCCCATTCATCATAGGGGTTAAAATTACTGCAATCATCACTTCTTGTTTTTCTCTGCCGGAGCATTGTGGGTAAATTCCATAGGCATCAGAGAACATATAGAGAGAAAGAGGGAGGAGGGGTGATTATGCCATGCAGATGTACACAACACACACAGAAACAAAGGGATTCCCAGAAGCGCTCGGTTATGTTAACACCATCACACACACACACACACACACACACACACTTTGACACAGCAGTTACTGTGTAGAAAGCTCACTTTTGGGCTGGACCTAACTGGAAAGGAATGCAGCAGGGTTTTATACATCCTGCCTGAGGGGCTGAGTGAGGATGGTGTCCTCTAGAGAGAGGGAGAGTGTGTGTGTGTGTGTGTGGATATACATATGTATGTGTGTGTGTGAGGTCAAATAGGTGAAAGGGTCCACGTGGAGGAGATTTATGACGGTCTATGGTTTTAGTGTGCCGCAAATGCAGTGTGTGTGTGTGTGTGTGAGGTTGCTGTTGGTAAAATTTCTTCATTTCTATATGCCTCTCTCTCACACACACACACACACACACACACACACAGTTCCCATTCCCTGCATACCTACTGTTCTTGTCTGAGGCTGGCTTCCAGGAAATGAGGCACTTTAATTGAGTTGACTTTTTACGGCTTGACTGGTGATAGTGTGTGTATGAGACGGAGCGAATGAGGTGTCTGTGTGTGTGTGTGTGTGTGTGTGTGGGGGGGGGGGGGGGGGAGAGAGAGAAAGAGAGAGAGAGATGGAGATAACAGAACACAAAAAAGCAAAATAATTCAGAGAAAGCATCAAGTTCAAGCTAAAAAAACAACCAGAAATGTGATGTGAAACTGAATGACTACATTACATTTACCACACACACACACTGGATAGGAGCCAGCTTACCTCAGCACAGGTAATTACAATGATTCAAAAACTCAGGAGGACTCAGCTCCTCATTTTGCTATGACACTCACAGGAAAAAATGTGTCAAAAGTTGCCGTCTGTACGATTGTGAGTGAGTGTGAACGTAGGTGGGTGACACTATTTGTTTATGAGAGGAAGACGACTGAGCAATGGGCAAATTATGGACAAAACTGACGTAGTTCAAGAGACAAACAGAAATGAGTGTGCCTTCTTTCCCAAAATCCAACCAGAATAATCCAGTTTTTTTACACACACACACACATTGTCTAAATAAGCCAGCTCAGCTCACTATGACTCATTTTATGTTCCCCATAGTTGCCTGGTTAGTGGGACTGGAATATTTTGCTGTATCCTTCGCTCCTCTTGTGAATCTCACACACTCATAGAAAGTCTTTCCACCGTGATTCATTTTTTCGGGTAATGACTTGCTGTGTTCAGCTCAACAGTTGTCAACAGTGTCCCGGGCCAAGCACAACACCCGGCTCTCTCAAACAACTGAGCTCGGTTTTGCACTCAAGTTTTTTTTTATTTCCCCCAGCAATCAAAACATTCACACCCAAGCCCGGGCACCCTTCATGGTTTCAACCTCGTGTTTTTAACGCAACACAAGGAAGAAAAGTTGAGCAACAGGGTGAAAATATCCGATAACATTCTTGCTGTCTGATTAAAATCTAAGTTATTAACAGTTTCATTTTTTAAGACTCTCATTTCATTTTTGACCTCCTGCCAATGTCAACGCTGTCAAGTGTAGAAGGTGGAAAGAATATTAAAGGGTTAGCAATATGCCCTGCAACGAGCAATCCACAGAGGTCTTCCAGGAAGGGCCTCCGGTTTGCTGATTATTTCTTCCAGGAAGGCTTTTTGTTGGCTGATCGGCCGCTTATAGGAAAGACGTTTGGTTGGCCCATCAGCTCGAGTATTGTCACAGCCGCTTCTGATAAAGCCAGACCAGCTTCCAGGAAACCAGAGATTTACCCTCCAGCATTCCATCATTCCTTCACCATCAGCGGCGCAGAGAGAGACAGAGAGAACGAGAGGGAGCAGGAGGGGTATAACAGGGACACGGATCAATAAAAAACATATGCGAAGCTCACACATTGACAAATGCACTCAAAAAAAATGTGCGCGTGTGCATGTATGTATGTATTTCTGTATTGTGCACAAACTCACTGACCAGCTCATTGTGACACACTCAAGTCAAACCACAATACTCCCCCCACCCCCCCTTCTCCTGCACTATCTGATACTCATTGTGACTAACCTTATTTTCACTTAAATCATCACTGAAATGGTTTTTCCCGGTAACACCTGGACAGCTTAGATGGGTGTGCCTGAGCGGTTACTGACTGGAAGGACAAAGAAAAACTACCTTGAATGACCCAAAAGGTACAAAACAGGTTGTGAGGCACGCTGTAGTAGACACAGCCACATTGTTTTTTCTAAGAGGTGGATTCCTTTTTTGCTGTTTTTGCTCTCAATTCACAGCTGTGCGAGCGTAGCGGCAGAGACGCTCAGATGCCAAATGGCTTACGGTAACGGCGTGGACTCGGACCAAAGCTCTCTAACACTCTCAGGTGTCACTGTGTCCCTGCAGCCAGCAAACAGGACTGCATAATGTTTGAACTTGAGACTGCAGCAGACGCGCACACATGTGTGAGCTCTAGCATATGCACATACATATGTGGTGAGTAAGGGGTTTTTTGGTTCTGGATTAATGGCGACGCCCATGAGTTACCTACAGTGAAAATGCAGCAGTGCTACAATGATAAGATAAAAGTCCTGCATTCATAATTGAACTGCAGTAATGGTTGAGTAGTAAGCGTTATTAGCAGGAAAATGTTCTCAAGTAATGAGTTTAATTGAGTCTCGGCGTCAAATGAAACCAGTTTTGGGGATTTTTTTACTCTTCAATAAAACAAAAGAAGGAAATAAAACAAATAAATGAGGAAAGAAAATAAGAAACGAAAGACAGAAATAAAAGTTTATTCTTATAAATATATATTTATAATATTTTTTTTTGGGGGGGGGTTGCACACATACATCACGTTTAATATTTTTGCTTTTAAGAATATATATATTGCATTTTTTATATACATATTTGAAAATGGCTCCATTTATATGGCACCTTTAGTAGTTACTCACTCTTCTGTTTACCTGCCAGCACACACACACACACACACACACACACACACACACACACACACTATCTAAGTCAACATTACTATTGAGTGTATAAACTGACAAAAGTGGGGAAAGTGTGTGGGAGGGTGTTTAGCTGTCAGTCAGTTACATAATAAAGAGGCGACTAACATCAAAGAGGCTCAGCTGCCCTTGGCATTTCTTTATCAATACTCTTCCATTGTGGTTTCCATATTGGATCATCATTCATTAACCAACTCTTTCCCTCCCTGAACACGTGCATTACCAGCTGGACTATCAGCGTCAGATAAAGACTCTGGGATCTCCAAAACAAAGTTGCTCATGAGTTAAACCCGCGCTCTGGGGTTTGTTTTTAAATGAAACGCTAGATTTTACAAGGTTTTCGCCCGCAAATTAAAAACAACAGAGATCCAAACTGGACATTTTGAATATGACCGGTGGCACAAATAACTGACAGGCTGCTCTGTTTCTTCTCAACATGAATCCAACTGGATTAAACGAGTCTCAATGCTGAGCCCTCTGCACCAAGTCTATTCAACCACTGTGACCTCCCACAGCACAATATAAAAGAAATGGCACTTCTCAGGGCTGAGTGTGTATGTGTATGGAAGTGATTTCACCTTGTGAGAACAGCCCATTCATTAAAGACTAATCAATCCTCTGTTTAAATACTCATTTCCCTGCAAAAGGTGGTATTTAGACACATAAACACAACCCTCCTCTGTGTTTTCTGATCACATTTGTTCCTGAAAGAAGAAAACAGGGGGTCCGCTGTGTGTGTTTGTGTGCGTCTGTGCACCCAGCAGTGAAGCAGCATCTGAATGTAAGAGCCAATCAGAGAGCTGTATAGACACTGAGCCCCCCAAGTGCTGCTGGTTTATAGGGCTCAGCTTCAGAGAAGTCACATGACTTCCCAGAGAGCGAGAGAGAGAGAGAGAGAGAGAGAGAGAGAGAGAGAGAGAGAGGGGGGGGGGTAGTGGGCAATGTGGGAAAGGAGGATGAAGAAGAGGAGGAGTGGAAAGAGGGTCAGGAGGGTGACAGGAGCGTTGTGAGGGGTGAATTGAAGATCTGGTAAATGAAAGGAGCAGAAAGGAGGTAAAAAAAAAAAAAAGGAAAAAGAGAGATGCCAGTGTTCTCGGAAGTGAAATTGTACAGGCTGGTCACGGTCTATAATTACAGCTGAATGAACAAAATGAGAAATGACGGCGAGGAGAAGTCAGTGAGTGGATGAATGAAGGATGAAATGAATGAGTACACACAGGCGATAGTGGTTGCAGCTGATTACTACAGCGGGGTAATCTTGATGGTCTGGTTAACCCCGCTGTCACACAACAACTATCTTCCCCACAACGCTTAAAGGCACAGCTCACCCAAAAAATGTTAATGTTGTTGCCTCTAGTGGTATCAATACATGCAGGTTCATATCTCTTCACGTTAGGATGTAATAGAAAAGGAATTGAGCTTTATTTGAAGTATTTTTAAATCCTTTGTGTCTTTCCAGAAGCAATTTTCTGGTTACTATAATCCACAGACTTCGCTGTCAGGAGTTTTCTTTGGGACAATTTATTTGCTGGAAAGTGGTTCCAGTAAAAACTGTTCACAGCAAGTTCTGTGGAAACGAGTGAAGATTAAAATATATATATATACAGTTTTGCAGTTTTCAGAGAACCACAAACATAATTCCATTCGCTTTTATAGAAATGGGAAAGAGACGGAGGAATATCTCAAAACTTACAACCAAACACTATATGGCCAAAAGTATGTGGACGCCCCCTTTTACCGCATACTTTTGGTCTGGGGTTCACGGTTTATGTTCGGCCCCTTAAGTCCAGTGAAGGGAAGTCTTAATACAACAGCATACAATGATACTTGAGACAACAATGTGCCTCCAACATTGTGGCAACGGTTTGTGGGAAATTGCTTCCTGTTTTGACACGACAATGCCCACATTGTACAAATAATGTCCACAAAGAAATGGTTTTCTGAGGTTGGTGTGGGAGAACTTGGCAGAGCTCTGACCTCGACCCCATCAAAACACCTCTGAACCGGAGCGCTCTCAGAAAGCCAGGCCTTATCGCTCCCAAACATCAATGCCCCCCGAGCTCGCTAATGCTCTGGAGGCTGAATGGGGGAGAAAAATCCCTGCAGCCTTCCCAGAAGAGCGGAGGCTTTTAGGGCAAGCATATTAATACCCTCGGTTTAGGAATGAGATGATCAGAAATCACATACGGGTGTAATGCTGTGGTTCTCAAAAACTGTGGGTCAACATACTGGTACTTTAAGTGTTTGGTAACCATGGTAACTTAGGTTAAGAAAAAAGTCATTACAGATGTTCCTAAGTCGATGTTCCTTTCCAATCTTAAGATAGGAAATGTCTATTACACAAGCAGCTTAACTTCCCCAAATCTTAAATAAACTCTCCGAACTTGAGGATAAATGTTGAGCTGTCCTAACTTTCCCTTTTCCAGCAGATAGTGTTAGCTAACATGTTGAATCCATTATGGTTGCTCTTTAAGTGCTTGTACACAGAACTTCTCTCTTTTATCTTCATGTTTTAGTGTAAAAATATCTGTCTCGCGTGCCCGTCGTTGTTTTTGCTCCAGTTTTTGTCTGTTTCAATGAGAAAAACATTACAAAGAGCTTGTTGAGATGATAACTGTAGAGTCGGTTGCTAGGTAACAGACATAAAAGTTGATCACTGATGTTGGATTGAGTATTTATTTATTCCTAACCTGAGATAAAATAGGATTCCTAAAGTAAGTTAGGATTTGCTTCGGTAATACAAAAAAGACTCTTCCTATCATAACTTAAGACTTAAGATAGGATGTTTGTGTAATAGAAATAAACTTGTATTAATTAATTTAGGCCTCAATTAAACGGCACACCGCATCATCAGATACAAGATCATCATCATTATCAAGAAAATGACATTATTCCGAACAGAAAAAGGCAAGTTTCATCATAAAAACGTCCTTTTTTTTATTAGTTTTTGGTCTTCCTATCATTGTTAATGATTACTAAACATTGTGGGGTGTTGGGGCATCTGAAGTGGGGGGGGGAGAACCACAGGTGTAACGTTCAGTTGTCGACATACTTTCGGCCATGTATCAGCGTGGTTATATATCACCAGACTGAGGCTTTAAATGTGGTCGAATGTATGCTTTAAACAGCTGAAAAACGGGCACTACCCCCACTCTGCTTTGGAAAAAAAGGAGGAATTTACACCGAGCCCCCCCCCCCATCGCCTCTTAAGAGCAATGTGTGTGTGTGTGTGTGTGTGTGTGTGTGTGTGTGTGTGTGTGTGTGTGTGAAGTAAAGCATGTCCACATGGCCTATGACATATGAAGGGGGGGGCATTGGTGGTGTGAAATGTGAAACAGATGTTACTCTTGTTTCGCAGGCACTGATGTCGACACCTTTACACTGCAGAGGGAAGTGTGTGTGTGTGTGTGTGTGTGTGTGTGTGTGTATGAAAGACCTCATTTGAGGGAAGGCTTCCCATAAACACCTGTTTTGTTCCGGTTAATATCTCTCGTCATGGTGAAGAAATGATGGCCTCAGTGAAAGAGGAGAGAGAGAGAGAGAGAGAGAGAGAGGGAGGGAGGGAGGGTGGAGGGGGGTCACCTCCACTCCCCTCCGTCTGTGAAAGAGAAGAGCTCATGTGGGATGAACACATTCGTTTATTCATTCGGCCCCGTCTATTTTCAGCCCAGTGGGTTTATGGTTATTGGAAAGGCGTTGCCGTCTCGCTCCTTCCCAGAAGGAGTCAATATTTCTCCCTCTCCTTCATTTCTCCCTCTCTGCCTCTTTTTCTCTAATTCAATATTTTCTCCAAAACACCACTCTCCTCCTCCACGCACAGGCAAGGAATGCTGGAAGGCATTTGAGAGAAACAAAACGCACACGAGCAAAGACACAGAGCACACACACACACACACACACACACATGCACACACACACACACACACACACACACACAGACAAAAGTGTGAGGTTACAGAACGCAGTGCCAACAGTGATCCCGGAAAAAGTCCTGCTCTGAACGTCTCCCACTTTCTCCATCCCTATCACAGTTATCCATCGCCTGCCTCTTTCAAATGCATCTTTATCTCTCCTCCGTTCGCGGCTCTTGTGGGGCTCTCGAGACCGACTGTGGCCTTTTTTACGACGCTGATGTTTGCTAATGACTTTTAATGTCGACTTGTTATGGCTCATAAAACCTGGCTCTGTTACCGGCAATATCAACTTTAACTACAGTACAGTGCGGTCCTGATAACACACACTGGGACTTTTATCAAGTGATTAAAATCAGACAAGACAGCATGAGTATGTGTGTGTGTGTGTGTGTGTGTGTGTGTGTGTGTGTGTGTGTGTGTGTGTGTGTGTGTGAGGCGAGGCAGATGGTGCTTGTGATGTGACTGTAGCTGCACCATTCGTGGGTCAGAAATAAAAAGTGTCAGAGGGAGGAGGGAGTTGTTTTGTAATGAGGGCGCCTCCCTCGCAGCCTAATCTCCATCCACTGTAGATAAATTCCCATAAGGCTTCACCTCCAAATATTGACTCAGTCCCACATACATGAGGGAACTGGGGCTTTATTGCTGATAAAAATAGAGGATAGGGACTGGATATAACCAGTTTAGTTTGGGCCTGGCCCGTAGGGGGGGGGTTTGCTTCCTACAGTGAGATAAACGTGACAGATCGGTGACACCCAGGTAGAATTAGCTTTACAGCTCAGAGCAGGGGGGGGATAAAGGTCGAGCCAAAAGCAGGTCTGTGACCCCTGAAGAATCTAAGTGGGGGGTGTCACAGTTATTTCAGATGTGGTTCGTGACCACAACATGGGCGTGTAAACACACCGTACACACTGGCACGGGAACAGAGGGACGCAGATGGGACGGAGACGCTCACGCACGTGCACGCCTCGCGCACTGTGGCGGGTTAATGCACGGTGGGATAAAACCTGTTGTAGTAGTTTATAGATTATCTGTGTCTATGTGAGTATGTTCAGTATTAAACACTGGGTAAAAGATTGTTTGAAAAACCTAAAAAAAACAACACATAATTTAACTATTATGTTTATATACACATAATATTGTTAATAGTTATTATTAAAAGTAAATAATTTGGTCACAGTAAACTGAATATATTGTGTTCTGGATGAAAAAGACATTTTAAGACGTCAGCTTGTCTTCTGGGCTATTTTTAGAGGCCTTTTTAATTGTTTTCTGATGATCTGTAGATCAAACAATAATCAATTAATCCAGAAAACCACTGACAGATTGATCAGTGATTAAAATAATCATCACAATATCCCAATAACATGATCACCCATACAGTCTAATGAGGCAGTACAATCATAATAAAGTATAAAGTAAATCTATAACAAGATAACTCTTCTTACACACAATGTGAACACAAATTCAAGATGGCAGGTTTATTGTAATAGATTACATTAGACTGTAGTTACTCTGTTATTCTGTGTGCAATCTGTAAATGAAAGAAATCAGAATATCGATTATATGGATGGATTATAGAAATGAATAGAGGCACATTTGAACAGAGCATCAGTGTTTCTTTGTGGTATAATCAGCTTTGTTGGGATAGTGGCGCCGCCTCGAGGTCCACATTGCTCTGTGCACGTTGATCAGCTGATATGTCATCCATTAACTTTCCTTGCAGTCAATGATTATCGATTATGTACACCTAGAAGCGTCTAAACTGCTGGAAGAAGAAGAAGAAGATTATCGGTCCAAAGTTCAACTTAATAACACCATCCAATGGACGCGGTGACAGGAGGAGCATCATGTCTTTGAAAAAGTTTTCCTGCAGAGTTTTGTGTAAACTTTTGAGCCCCGGTGTCGCCTCGTGCACACCGATCAGTGCACGAGCAGCAGCCGACGTCGCGCGGGGATGGGGCTCCGCGCGTGGCTACTACAAACCCGGGTACACCGGGCCGGGTGGGGCGGCTCACTCCCGGGTAGTGGACCTCCGCAGCGACACGGTGACCAAGCCCGGGCCGGCGATGAGGCAGGCAATGGCGGAGGCCGAGGTCGGAGATGACGTGATGGGAGAAGACCCGACTGTTAACGGTGAGAGCCGAAGAGTGACTGTTTATAGTGGTTTATAAATTAAATATTTATATATATTATATATAATTAAATATTTATATATATTATCTTTGCCAGTTTGTGATGCTTTTATTCTTGAAAATATGTGTTTCTGCATATTGTTTACTAATTACTGCTTCTTAATTACTGTACATAACCTTTACATATTGGTTAATATCTTTGTGTCCCCTCGATTAAAGGTCCAGTATGTAACATTTAGGAGGAACTATTGGCAGAACTGGAATATAATATAAATTTTTATTAGTGTAGAATCACCTTAAACCTTAGAATGAGTCTTTTATAAACGCTTTTTTTATTTGCTCATATGTGACTCATTTTTATGACAGTGTGAACATCATTAATCACATGTAATTTAATCTTTTTCCATTCTTATTTGGGCCACTTTAATATGTCGTCCAAATCAGATACAGGTCAGATTGTTTTTGCAATGTGAACTCAGTGTGAACAGTCAAAATCAGAATTCATGTCACTCTAGATTGACATTCGTTATCCAGGTCACTTCAGCAACGTGACCTGTTCACACTGGAATCTGACATGAGCCACATTCAAAAAAAATAATGTGAGCAATAAATCAGAACGTAGCAATAGAGAAGAAGCTGGTTCTCTATAAACTCATCCCTAAATCTTACACTATCCGTCTGCTTTCTGCAGAGTTACAGAAGATTGCAGCTGATATGTTTCAGATGGAGGCCGCGCTGTTCGTTCCCTCTGGAACAATGAGTAATCTCATCGCAGGTGAGCTGTGCACTGATTGTCTGAAACCATTTTTACGAGGTCAGAACGGTCATAAACTCGCCCGTATTTCATCCCGCAGTGATGGTGCACTGCAGGGAGCGTGGCGACGAGATGATCGTGGGCGACCTGTCCCACTTACACATCTACGAGCAAGGAGGGAGCGCACAGGTGAGTGTACCACCCGCACCTCCGCGACCTCTGATCACCCGCAGGCGCATTCAGTGTGTGTTTGTGTGTTGACACAGCTGGCCGGTGTCCACGCCACCACAGTAACCACCCTCCCCGATGGAACGTTTGACTTGGAGCAGCTGGAGTCGAAGATCCGCCACGGTTACCCCGACCCCCACTACCCCCGATCTCGCCTCATATCTCTAGAGAACACCCACAACATACAGGGAGGACGTGTGCTACCTCTGACCTTCCTGCAGGAGGTGTGTGTGTGTGTGTGTGTGTGTGTGTGTGTGTGTGTGTGTGGCTCATACTTACTTTACAACACCAGGATGAAGGTTTGATCGCCTTTGGATGTTTTGTTTCCATCTCCAAGGTTCGCGCTTTAGCCGATAGATACGGTCTGTCAGTTCACATGGACGGAGCCAGGGTGATGAACGCCGCCGTGGCCCAGGGGGTTCCTCCGTCCACCATACTGCAGCACACACACACCGTCAGTGTGTGCCTCTCAAAGGTGGGGCTGCAGAAACACACACAGAGTGGACCACAACATGACATTAATGTGTGTTTTTGGGGTTAAATTCAACATCAAATACAACTTAAAAGTCAAATTTACATTATGGTGTGTGACAGGGTTTGGGGGCCCCAGTGGGAACTATACTAGCTGGACCCCAAGACTTCATATCCCGGGCAGTTCGGTGCCGTAAGGCCCTGGGTGGGGGGCTACGGCAGGCCGGTATATTAGCCGCAGCGGGAAAACTGTCTTTACTGGAGATGGTGGGAAGACTGGAGGAGGACCACCGCAATGCTAGGACCTTTGCTCAAGGTGAGTCTGCTCATATTTCTGTGAATTCATTAACTGTCGTCCATCGTAGTTCTTTTCGTAAACTTCTTCTTTCCTCGCCTCTGCCAGCTCTGCTCGACTGCGACCCTCCTGTGTTCGCGGTGGACATGGCCGCCGTGGAGACCAACATCCTGCGTTTCCGTCTAAAGGAGCCCGGTTTGAGTCCCTCCGAGTTTTGTGCCCGCATGGGTCAGGTCGGCGAGGGAGAGGAGGCGGCGCTGGGACAGGGGATACAAGTTCTCATGTACCCCCATTTTGGAAATTCGGTACGGGCTGTATGGCATCTTGGGATATCCCCTGAGGACACACAGCTCGCCGTCCAGAAAATGCAATTTGTGGCTTCTCGGTATTTGCAGGAAAAAGTCAGCGCCCAGTGAAACCTGATACTTCCCAAGATGATCTAATCTAATCACCAGGACTGATCAATGGAAATTTTTTGGGGTATATTTTATTATAGCGACCGGATGTAAACCGGGGACGCTGCGGTTCATGGATGGCGATCTAACCTCGAGACCACCAGACCGCCCTTGTTCCTTTTAGTTTAATTGGAATACTCTCTGAATTTGAGCAGCGTACTACTGTCTTCAGGGATTTGTATTCATGTTTTTATAGGCCTTGAAATGCTCGTACAAGAACATTTTATGCCAAAGTTTTGGTTATTTCAACTATTTCAACTTTAAATCTTACCTATTTAATCTTTAAATTTAATTTAAAAAATGTATAGTTATGGAGATGCAGCCAGCGATCATCAAGCCACAAGATGGCACTGATGTATCAGTCCCTGCTACGTAGTGACTGCAGGCAGAAGCTGACAGGAGGAAAAGCCTGTTTTTTGTTTCCTTTATAAATCTTTTTCTTTCCGGTTTCTAATTTTTGAAATTTTTTATTGCTGATATTCAATGATATGTAAAGCAAATACAGTGTAAATTAGGATGGTGATTTATAGGATTGTCACTTTTTTTATGTAAAATCCCTAAACTGAAACAAATTAAACCGAAGTCCTTCACTTGATAGGATCTTTGCCTTTGAAGTTTTTTTTTTAACATAATAAGAGTATGATAAATGTATGAAAACCATGACAACAATAATCATACACTATGTAATGTTGTTAGTTATGGATGGTGAAAGTAAATTATTATTGTTTTAGCTGGGGAAACTCTCTCAGGGATCACGACTCCAGTGACTCCACAGGACCATTGAAATCACGGTCTGCGTGAGAAAAGATTCTGGCAGCGGTGGGATTCGAACCCACGCCATCGAAATGACTGGAGCCTAAATCCAGCGCCTTAGACCACTCGGCCACGCTACCACGTTGCTCCACCACACCGCACAAGCCACTTTCTACCACTACAAGTACGTCCCCACATACCGACGCACTTTAACCGTTTGAGTGACTGAACTGTTGCTAACACTGATTACAGTATAACACTTTTTATATTTTATATAATTTTAATATAAGACTAGCGTGTGTTAAGCGGGATGTACAAACTGAACTGGCGTTAAATGGCAACGGTTGCGCCAACGGTCCGTTACTAACGTTACGCCGGAACGTTGTGACGTCAGGCGGCTGAGTACAAACAGCGCCAACCGTCAGCGTCAAGTTACCATTAGCTCAGATAGCTAGCTGCCGAACAACATTTCTGAGACTTGGTGCGAGTAAGTTCGTTAGTTGAGCGGCTTGTTTGGCATTATGTGCTGTGACATGTTGCACTATACCTAATATATAACTTATGTGTAGTCGGAAATTCCTGACGCAGCTCTTCGGGTTTCCCCACGAGGCTGACTGCTCGGGTATCTAACGGGTACTGTACGGCGAGTGCTGCGTTCAAATGCTCCTCCGGTAATCGTACCTACGACATTCACGCGGTTCTGCTCCAATAAAATCGCGAACCAATTTTACTATATTGGTCATATATTGCATTTCCTGTTTATATTTATAATATAAACCAAAATTAACTGTTAATCTGACTCATATGTATGTATTTACTAGTTTGTTCCTTTCTCCATCTCGACAGACGTCTGTTCTCATGTTCGTCTGTTATATTTCCGACGGCCGTGAAGGCAGCGGGAGGCAGGGGCGTGGCTGTCAGAGATAAAGTGCAGTACGTGCAGAGGGCTCACGTCGCCGTGGTGGACGGTAACAAGAACAACATCCCGCTGCCAGGCACGTCCCCGGACCTTCAGGATACATTGGAGAACCAGGACCGACCCACTCTGGTCTGGGAGGAGAGTTAAACCGCAGCTGCTGCTGCTGCTGCAGTCCTCGCCCATCTAACGTCCAACTGAAACTGAGAGACGGAAGAAGACCGAGCCTACACTGTTACAGCCTGTCGAGCTAAAGAGATTAAAGGTGTGTCTGTGCCTCCGGTTATAAGGTTGGTTGTTGATTTAATAGGTGCATTTAACAGCAGATGGCATTCGACCAAACTTAAATTAATACTTTTTAGTAAAGTAATATATCTATTGTTGTTGGTTCTGCATGATTTCTGTGGGAGCACATTGTCCCACATTGTGCTTGCATTCCTCTCCACTAACCAGCTGTCACTTTAAAAGTCTGCAAACACAGTTGCTTTGATTGATTACAGTGAGACTGATTGGTGCTTACAGCAGCGGAATAACTTAAGTAATGGGCTAAATTGCTTTTGCATGCTGACACTCATCATTTATTGCTTAAATCCACATTATATTAGTGTATATTTTGACTTTAATTGTTAGCATATGCTGGAGATCAATCATAGTGCAGCCACTTCTAAGGAAACACAGATAACTCTCTCATATTTGCCATAAGATGCACAGCTGTGCAGCCATGATGTAGGGTTGTTTTGAACACGTACTAACATGGCTGCCACAGATTAACTCCAAACAGTTTTTATGTGGCTCTGCATGCCTCTCACAGCCATGTCTCCTCTCTTGTCAACACACACACACACACAGCAGCAGACATCATGGAGGACGAGCTGATGTTCAGCATGGAGGAGGAGGAGGGCAGCGCCAAGAGAGCCCCTGTCCAACGCAGTGCCCCCAGTCAGCGGGCATCTTCCCTCAGTGATGCCAACGCCAGTGACGACGACGACGACGACGACCACTTCATCTGCCCCATCCTGGACGACTCTGCCAAAGAAATTTGCCACTACCTGAAGAATCTGGTTTACACCCGGCAGCTGTCAAACTCTCTCCCCAAGACCAACTTTATGTTCAAGGTGAGCCGTCGCCCCCGGCAACGCGATGCAACGATGCACGATCTCCCCAGAGATGATTGACAGTAAAGTGTCAGCTAATGTTGAAACCAAGTGCTCGAGCAGTGTTCAAGTCCTGCTCGTGTATCATCATAAACAGTTCTGCAATTAGCTGTGAGAACTGCTCTTTGCCTTATAAGGAGAGATGATCTGTGCATGCCTGCACACACGTACCAGTGTGTGTGTGTGTGTGTGTGTGTCCTGTTTAGTGTGAATGTGTGTATTTGTTTATTGAAGTGGAAAGCTGGGCAGTCACCTCCTTACTGTACTATCTCTAAAGAACAGGAAGTACCAGAGTGGTTTCCACCTCATGTGATCACGGTGCATGTAAACAACGTCTCTCGCTGCTCACAGCTACATTAAGGCCTCGAGTAATCAGAGCTGCTGTGCACCAGTCAACTGCTGGGATGAATGGCCTTTTTTTTTGTGTAGTGTTGTTGTTTGAAGGCAGTTCAAGTTATTTAACATATGTGCTTTGTGAATGTCAGCTATGTGCATATTCTGTTTGTTGATGAAAAGTCGTCCATTTTCTTCACTTTTCTACATAGAGTGAAACAGAAACAGAGGCAGAACCTCGGTCGTACAAGGTTTTGTCTGAGAGCGCACGGGTACGTTACAGATCAAATTATATCTTTCTTCTCTCCCTCTTCACCAGTGACCATCTACGCCTCCCTTCTCCCCCCTAACTCTGTAATTTACTGTCCTTTTTCTTTCCCTGTTTTGGAATGCTTTATTTAACTCTCGTAGCCACATATCTTTCACCTTGTCTCATTTCCCATGACTCTCTTCATGACTAATGTTCTGTGTATTCTAATCAGTGCATCTTCCCTTCCCACCAGACTGTACTTTGTTTAATGAATCTACTTTAACAAACACCAGAAATATTTATACATTGAAAAACAAATCCTATTTTTCTGGCGCGAGTCTCAAATTCTTGTTTTCCATTCTGCTGCTCTAAAATGTTGTTTTAGAAAATGATATAAATCCCAGAAATAAATTGGAATTAAAATGTATTTTGAGCACGGCTGTGCATTTCAGTGCCTTACCAGGCTTCGCCACTTGATCCTTAAAGTCTTGTGACCGCATGGAGATGTTTCACTCTCCTGCAGATGAACGAGGTCTGACGTAAGACGTGTCGCCTGCTGCTCCTCGCAAACAGACGCGACACTCGTATCAGTCGAAAATACAACTCTTCATGTAAATCCATGGCGCTAAATATAAACATGTCTAAAATGCCTGCTGTCGTGGTATACGAGGGAGACGTGCCGCTGTGCAGTACTGGATGGGTCAGGGTTTGGGTTACTGGAGCAGGTTTGACACTTGATTCATGGTCCCTACTAAGAAAGTTATTTTTTGAAAAGGGCACAACTGCAGATGGCCATGAAACATCATATGGTGATCACATTCATTTTAAGGTTTCACTGAATTATTTAAGTTATTATGGAACAGGTTGACCATTTTAATTTTCATTTTATGATTGTGTTTCTTCTTCCTGGTTTCTACTTATATATTTATTTATTTTTTCCTTCCTTCCTTCCTTAACCTCCTTACTTCCTGATTTGCATGCTGTTACAACAGCTGCAAACAAGGGTCATCCTTAGAGCAGGCTGTGTTTACATTGGTGTGTCCCTGTTGATAAAGGATCAGCATTGTCGGCTTCTCCTGCTCTTAGCTGATTAAATGCAAATACTTTGAAGAATGTAGGGGGAAGCTACTCAATACACAAACTGTGAAATTTAATTTGCATAATTCATGAGCACAATACGGGTACTTAGAGAAAGTGATTGTGTTGTGCAGAAAAAAAGCACAAAAGCTTGAAATTGCCTCTATTTTACTAATTCAATTTCAGGTTTTCTGCATTTAAAGCTTCCCCTCCTTCCTCTAAGTGTTCAAGCAAACCTGTTTAGGAAATTGACTCTTCCATACGTTTTGCATATAAACAAACTTTGCCAGCTAATAAGTCGTGTTTGTTCACTGTGACAGGACGCATGGAAGAATGCAATTGAAAAGGCCAAGGCCATGCCCGACCCCTGGGCCCAGTTTCATCTGGAGGAAATCCAGACTGAAGCCTGCATTCGTTACAGGTATGAAATTTACAGCTCTAATCGACCTTTGTCATCGAAGACATTTTGACGAAGAGCGTATTTCAGAAGTGGTATTTATCCAATATTATAACATTCACACCTTGAGGACTTTAAATTTCAATTAAAGTTGCATTAATTGATGTTTTGCTGTAAACACAATGCATCTTTATCATCGTTATGAAGTTGATTTTGCAAACTTGTTAGCAAACAGTTGCAGTATCTGGTTCTTTCGCTGCTAAATGCTCCACTATGTTGTTCACCAGTTAGTCACTGACGTTGGCTGCCTGCTGTTTGGTGCTGAACAGGGAGCATTCGATGTGTTTATAAGAGGTTTGTTTCACTGAAAATAGCTGCCTGCTGTGGCCAAAAACAACACTGATGAGAGCAATGAGACAGAAACACAGCAGTTAATAGCCAAAAGACACTAAAGAACTCTAAACTGCTAAAAGCTTAGAGGAACAGCAGAGTTGGGTGATTGTCTGTGGTTTCATCACTACAAGCGACCACTTTCACATTACACACATTCATCTGACCCATTGTCAACATAAAAAGACTAAATTTAGCTTTGTATTAGGATTAGGACCTTTTATATTGCCAGGAATATTCCCATTGAGATTCAACATTTCTTTTACAAGGGTGTCCTGGCCAAGACACCACGTTTCAGGAGAAACAACAGACTTAAAACAAGAGACGGTAAACAACAGGAAGACAAACAGCATACAAATTTCACTTAGAGAAAACAAGCAGTATTATTCAGTAAGTATTCTGTAACAGGACAGGTGCATTCAGTGGTCAAATAGTTCTTTTAATCCTGTTTTTGTAAACTTATAATATAAATAATCCAGTTTAAGGTGACTGTAGCTCACACCCAGATGAGGGTGCAATTTGTTCCCTTGATCGAAGGTTACAACTACTGATTCTGTAGGGAACATAAATAAGACGGCAGCTTGGGTAATATGGCCTATTAACTGACATAGTTTAGTATTAGTTGACGCTGACACATTGGTATTAGCCAGCGTTGGTCTTTAACTGTAACTGAAGTGTCAGCGGTTGGCTCGTATCTCGGTCAGTGGTGCTAATCTTAACTGTTGACAAACATTGCTGCCACTTCACTGGACACATTGCCGTCCTTTGGCCCATCCAGTTCTTCTTTATCTCGCGCTGTAGCTGGGACACTTGAGTGTTCACCCAGATGTTTTGGTCAACATAACGCCGATATAAACGTACCCACCCTGTGCAGAGTTCTCTGGCGTGGGCAGCAACAATTGAATGGGTGTGGGCAAAAAAGCAGGGGGGAAAATGAATGCCTCTGCTTGTGTTTGTGTTAGGTCGGTTACATAACAGACTACACAGAGAGAAAGGATTGTCAGGAGCTGGGATTTGCCCTCCTGTTCTCTTTTCATGTGCTAAATTTACCCACATGTAACCTCACTCCTCCTTCCCTCTCTTAAGCCCCCCTGTAGTATGAACTCGGAGGAATGAATGTCACGGTACACTGTGTTCCGAGGCTTGTTGGCAGAAACGAGCAAGCTTTATTTTTTTGGACGGGGAATAGAGCGCTGTTCTTCGAGTGGAGAAGGAAAGCTTGATACTGAGTTTCTAGTGCAAAGGCGCTCAGGTTTCAGCAGTGAAGAGTTGCAGCTGCACCTACAGTTCATGTGCAGTATTCATTAACTCACGACACACAGCATGCCAAGTCAAACAGACACACTGACCCAGACATACAGTGTGTACACTTTCATCACCATATTGACTCCACGAGTCCTTCTCTGAATACATGCATCCCCTTTGCTTTAAATCCAAATAACCTCAAGTCCAAAAAGAAATGGGCGCAGACAAAATGGCCTTTCTTTGGAAAGAGGTCACACAGCTTTTGTGTCTCCTTCTTCTCCTTGTTGTTTTTCCGCACAGAGGAAACTGGATGCTTCATGTGCGTCCTTGATAAGACTTTATAAAGGTCTGCTGATAGACAAGCTCCCTCACAGAGGGCAAAGAGTAACTTGGCTAACGTGATCGAGACCTTTAGTAGCAGACTCATAAGAGACAAAAGAGTCCTGTGAACTGGCTCAGCATTGTGAGCTGGCTCAGCGTTGTAGGCCGTCTAGTGAGAGTGATTTGTAACGTGGCAGGTGGAAAACAAAAACAAGTGCCAGTTCTCCATGCAGAGCAGGGTGACAGGTCTCACACAGCCGCTCTGCTGGAAAGGAACTAAAAGGCTGTTTTGATTAGTGTTTTATGTTTTTGTCTTCAATACGACACCAAGCTGACATCTGCAGATGACTCATTTTGTGCTGCCAATGATCCAATAACGAAAAAAGATTACACTAATATAAATCAAATAAAAGCAACAAAATCTCACATTAAAGAAGCTGAAACAATCTTAACAAAAATATTGTTCACTGACTGATATACAAACTGACAATAATCATAAACACCGATCTCCTACCTTTTTAACATGTAAAAAAGTAGGATAGTAACTGGAGTTAGATGTTAAAATGATATGACTGTTTGTGACTGTTTGCTGTCCTTTATTGTCACCAAAGTCAGTAGGATCCATCCTCTGGGGACCATGAATGTCTGCATACAATTACAGACCAATACATTGAATAGTTGTTGGGATATATCATCTAAAACTATGCATCAACCAACCGACACCGAATTGAGTGAACATAATCAATATAAGTAATTCTCCGCAGGTACAATGCCGTCACAGGAGAGTGGGCTCAGGACCAGGTCCACATCAAGATGGCTTCCCAGGTATCACTTCTCTCTAGAAGAGGACTGTTTGGCCAATATCTTAAAAAACACATATACTGGAGAGTCTTCCAGTTTCTTATTTCTTGTCTAATCTGTTTCCTCTGCCTGCTTTCTCACAGCCGTTTGGGAAAGGGGCCATGAGGGAGTGCTTCAGAACGTAAGTCGAACTGTTTCTCTTCATTCATCATTTCTCATCCAGAGGTTATTGCCCTCGTACTCTAGTAACCGAGGCCTCCGTGGTCTCGGTGTAAACAAATCAGGGGGGTATCTCAGTCCTAGATTGTAGCCTATAAGTGATGCAGGTCCACATTCCTCAGATTTCTTGCTGCAGCTCTGGAGGATAGCTGCTCAGTAGTTTTAGATCCAAAGATGGTGCTGAGAAAATCTCGCTGACGCAGCTCTATAAAGTCTTCCATGATGGCACTGGGGCTTTATTGTTAACTTTATTGATTCCCTCGATCTTTACAGTTCTGGGTGAAATAGATTTTAAGCACGTGGTGTTATCACTGCTCCGCTGTGGCTTCTGCAGGCTTTGTGGAATTAACGAGAAAAAGACAATAGTCTAATTATTAATGTTTAATCCTCAGTTATGTGGGAAATGTAGAAGAGAGTGCAATTTTTCTGTGAGAGGTGGGGGTTAATGGATGCCTCTGACAAAACCCAGAGCAATAAAATAACCCCTTCCCAGACCCTGCAAGCCTAAACAAGATAGAAAAGCTAAAAAAAGAAAGTCTGTACATCTGAAATGTGGTATGTCCCTGTTGTACACATGTTCTGGGACATCAGTTCGAGTCGATGTTATAAAAAAAAATTTTTTTTATTAAATCTAAATATAATTTAAATTCTGCTGCAATATCCTCTGCTCTTATTTATTTTCCCTCCAGGAAGAAGTTGTCGAATTTCTCACATAGCAGCAACTGGAAGTCAGCGTCTAATTATGTGGCCAAACGTTACATGGAGACAGTAGACAGAAATGTTTACTTTGAGGACGTCAGGCTGCAAATGGAGGCCAAACTCTGGGGAGAGGAGTACAGCCGCCACCGACCTCCCAAACAGGTACTGGAGAGACATTTACAGCCCACTGTTGTGCTCAGTAGTTCGTGCTTTCAAGGAATTATCGCTGATTTTATCACTATAAACTTAACATTTTTTTCCATTGTTGATTCATTTGACAATCGTGTTTTTTAATTAAGCAATTTGGTCTATTTAATGTCAAAAATCACAGCTTTGCAGAGCCCAGTGTTCCTAAAATGTTTTGTTTTGTCCAATCAAAAGCTCCAAACACAGAGACATTCAGTTTATTTATATATATATATATATATATATATATATATATATATATGTATGTGTGTATGTATATATGACAAAGAGAATCTTTTTGTGAGACAATTTATTATATTTCATTATTAAGAATCGGGTGTTACCATAACTCTCTTTATTTCAGCATTAAAAGCTATAATTTGATCACTATCGAAGGTCTGTACTGCACATCTGTTTCTCATCCTCAGGTGGACATCATGCAGATGTGCGTGGTGGAGATGAAGGACAGACCAGGTAAACCTCTCTTCCACCTGGAACATTACATCGAGGGCAAGTACATTAAATACAACTCCAACTCCGGCTTTGTGAGGGACGACAACATCCGACTCACTCCGCAAGTGAGTGACATCGCCTTTAGGTATCAATACGTGTTTGTCTAATAATCACTTAATAACGTTTCCCTTTTGTATCCATCAGGCCTTCAGTCACTTCACTTTTGAGCGATCTGGCCACCAGCTGATCGTGGTGGACATCCAAGGAGTCGGAGATCTCTACACTGACCCTCAGATCCACACAGAGAAGGGAACTGACTTTGGGGATGGAAATCTAGGTACAGCTATCTTTTATATAAACATAAACTGCTGCTGGATGCTGTGTGTGTGTGTGTGTGTGTGTGTGTGTGTGTGTGTGTGTGTGTGTGTGTGTGTGTGTGTGTGTGTGTGTGTGTGTGTGTGTGTGTGTGTGTGTGTGTGTGTGTGTGTGTGTGTGTGTGTGTGTGTGTGTGTGTGTGTGTGTGTGTGTGTGTAATGTTTGAAAAGTTAGAAATTATTCAAGAAGCCTTAATCACACCTGTGTTCCAGGCGTTCGAGGCATGGCGCTGTTCTTCCACTCCCACCTGTGTAACAAGATCTGCAAGAGTATGGGCCTGACGCCTTTTGACCTTTCCCCCCAAGAGAAGTCCCAGCTGGACTGCACCAACAAACTGCTGGTAATTTTAACATTTTAATGATAATTAATATAGTGTCAACAACTGAATACAGTGAAAACAGTGGAGAGAAAGAAGGAAAAAAGTGCCACATTCTGAATTTGAATAAATCTTACTACTTGTTCTGCCCTCTCCTGTTTCCTCAAATATTCTTGTTTTTATTTCAGAAGTCGGCTCAGACGGTGCTGCGGGGCTGCGAGGAGCCCTGTGGTTCTCCTCGCGTTCGGACAATGTCGGGAAGCCGGGCGCCTCTGCTGTTATCCCGCCTGTCTGAGACGTCCTCTGCGGACGAGAGCATGAGCGACGTGGACTCGGTTCCCTGCTCGCCTCTCATCTTCCCCTGCTCCCCGCTAGCTGCACCTGGATTTACGGGCAGGTCCCCCGCTGGTACGTGCATGAACGCATCATTTACATACTGTACATGCATAACAGTATGATTTATGTAGTTATCATTACGGTGTCCACATTGTAAATATTGTTTCTACATTTCACAGGATTATCTTTTACTGGGATGAATGAACACAATAACAATAACAACACAGGCGAACACAAGGTGAGAAATAACTCCAAAAAGCACAGAAAATGTTGCTGTGTCACTTTTAGCCAAATATTCTCCCATGTTTGAATTTAATTCAAGTCTCTAATGTCAAGGTGAAAGTTTGTTTTGGCCTTTTTTATTTATATTTATATATATTTTCTAGGCAGATAATCTGTAATCAAATGAAGAGAAGCTGAAAATATGTGTTGGAGCCATTTTCATCTGTCACTTAAATACAGTAGAAATGTTTTTGATCATTTGCATATGGGTCATATTGTCGACTGATCACATGATCAAATAAAACACATCACCGGTAAATGACAGTTTCAAAATAGAGTTAAAAATGCTTTACATGGGAAAATGAATTATATGATTATAATATTTCAGCACTGCGATGAACTTAAATCAGGTAATTAAAAGTAAAAACTATATCTGATCAAATTCATCCACAATTAAAGAGGACAAGAAGCACAAAATAGGCAAATAAATATAATTGTATTGGCATTTTTTAATATTCTGGCAGTTTCACAGTATTTTTTGCATGACTGGGCCTTTTTATATTGGTTTATAGTTACTTATTCTACTGTCTACATAGAATATGAAAACATTTTAATGTCATGTATATACTGAAGGCTTTCTTGGTCCCACAAAATGATAAAATATATGAAGGAATCAAACAATTTTATTGAGCAAACTGCAACATAGTAAAAACAGAACTTAAAATAAAAAAGTTACGCCAACAACTGCTTCCTTTTTAAAACAAAATTTTAGTTTAGTTTATATAATAAACATAAAACTGACATAAAATACTGAAAGACAATATAAAAGCATGAATGACATTGGCAGTATGAATTATTTTTGAGATGATCCTCAGAGGAAACATGATTGGACAACTCAAAGAAGACTGAGACGCAAGTCATCAACCACCTCGCACACAACTCACAAGTCACCTCACCGATTTGTTTTGATTTCTGTGTGTAGGACCCTGATAGTGGCGGGGACAGCGGCTACCCCAGCGAGCGGAGGAGCGAAGGCGACCCAAATGACCACGTGGACGGGGTAAAGATTTCCATTTGACTTTGGTTTGATTTAATTTCGGGCCAAACGATGTCCAGGATTTTGTACGAGTCTGTCGAAAAGGTACAGATGTAGAATATAGATAAACAATGACAAGAAATGTATTTGTATATGTGTATTTCTGGTGTTGGTTCAGCATACTACAAACATAAACACATCCCTTTTTAACAATTATCAAACCCTGACATGTTCCACTTCTCTTGTTACTGTATGTAGTTGACTCTCAGTAGCCGTTAGTCTGTTAACATTTCCTCCTCCTCGTTTTATAATGCATGTTGTATCATCACGTAGGCCCATCATCGCTACAAAAGACAGTATTCTGAGTCGGATGAGGACAGTGTCAGACGGGTAAACAAACATAGATGCAACAGTGTGTAAACGTCATCCTCACCTCGATCATAATCATCCTCACCGCAATCATATAACCCTCCTCTTATTTTCCTTGTCTTTCTTCACTTTGTCTTTTTCCCCCTTTTTTTTGCCTAACAATGAAAGCCCTCCCTCACTTTCCCTCTAATTCAGCTCCTCCTGCTCTTTGTGTTCCCTCACTAGAGGAAGATGGTAGCTCCTCCAAGAGTCTCTGCCAGCTTATATTCAAACACTCCTGACAACGAATCGGTGATTATTTGCACGGAGGCTCGTTTGCCAGCCGTTTGCCCGTGCAGTGCTGTGCAGCCTTATTGCTATCGAGCTTTATCAAGCATGAGTCTGAGGTTAGGATCTGAGCATCTGATTACACAAGCTGCTGCTGTTTCCACTCTGCTTTATTTCTAGTTGAATGAATGAAAACAGTCCTCAAAATGCAAAATATTATAAAATGATAGATCGACATTTGGAAAAGAAACACCATCTACCTCTGCTTCACCAACTCCATCATCTTGCTAATGATTCATGATGACTGTGTGTGTGCTCTTGCTCCCATGCTTTACTTGATTTGCTTTCACTGAGTGACAGGCCAGCAGGGATGTACTCCTCCAGCTCTGAGCTCAGTCATATAAATAACTAAAACAGACTGTTCTGGATGGGTACACCCCTGAGAGTGTGATTTGTCAACAAGCACTTGACTTTAGCTTCATCCTGTGATTCTGTTTTCTGATTATTATTGTGAAGAACAAGTGGTAACAGTCTCCCCTTTTATTCTTTCTCCTTCTTAACTGTCTTTTTATTCTCAGCTGACAGAGGAGAAGTGGAACTTCTACCATTCATCTCGCGCTCACGTCCATCGACCTTCCTGTGTGGCCACTGAGGTGGAGCGACTCGGCGCTATGCTGCAGAAGAAGATTGGCCAGTCAAACCTCGGGAAGGTAAAACGCGAATGATTGAATTCTACAAATACTCGACGCTCCACACAAAACAATTATTTCCACCACTATATGCATATTGTTTTAGTCTTGCAGTCAAAAAGGAGCACATATGAGCACTAATTCACTACTCCTAGCTCACCTGGTAGATTGCGTGCCCCATGTAGGCTGAGTCCTTACTGCAGCAGCCCAGGTTTGACTCCGACCCGTGGCCCCCCTCTCTCTCCCCTCTTACCTGTCTTCAGCTGTCCCATCAAATAAAGGCATAAAAAAAACCCCAAAATATATCAAAAACAAGATACAAGCAACATATACTGTACATATTTCAAGTCATGTCTTAGTTACCAAAACATCAACTAATTAGCTAAAGAACTCTTATTCTTTGTGCACGCAAAAAATCAAAAATTTTTATGAATCATGCTGACTGCTGGTATCGTTATCTCACAGGAGGGCCATTTAAAAGTACAGGTACAACAACAAACAGCAGTTTCTATACATTTTTATATCATCATTTTATATCTTAATTGTTCATAAGCCAAACAACAAATGAAGACCCAAAACTGTCCCTCATCAAATAATAATCTTGCATCCCAAATTATATTATATTTTTGACATCATGTCACGGGCCGGAGGGAAGGGGATGGAGAGCCGTAAATGGCCTCCGTTCTGGCAGGTTGGGATCCATGGTCTAACTTGTCTTGTGAAAATCATGTTCATGGTTAGTTTTGTATTAGTTTGAATATATCCTTGATCTCCCTCCTTCCTGCCCAGGTCCACCTGGCGATGGTGCGGTACCACGAAGCGGGTCGTTTCTGCGAGAAGGACGAGCAGTGGGATCAGGACTCGGCCATGTTCCACCTGGAGAGAGCTGCACTGTGTGGAGAGCTGGAGGCCATCGTAGCCTTGGGACAGTGCTGTCTGCAGCTGCCTCATCACATACTGCCAGACGTGGAGATGGAGGTATCAGTTTATTCTGACTTCTCTCTTCAGCTGATTTGACTTTGATTTAGAACAAAATGCACCTTCGTTTTCTTACATTTCTGTGCTATTGGCAGGATAATGCAGGAAACCGGATGAAAGGTTTTAAGTATCTGCTGCAGGCTGCTGAGGCTGGTGACAGATCTTCTATGATCATAATGGCCAGAGCCTTTGATAATGGGATCAATCTGTCAGCTGACAGGTCAGTGAAGGTGTGAAAAGTTGGACTTTGACGTTTGAGGTGGATAAAAATATCCCTTCAAATGAATCCTGGTCCAACAATCATGATAATACTGCCCCCTAGAGGGATTTGTAGAAGTTTTTTTATTACAGGAAGCAGATTCTATTTTTAATGCTGAACGCTGAATGTTTTGTGCATTATTGTTTTTTAATTATCCAGGAAGCAGAACTGGGAGGAAGCGATTCACTGGTACGACAGTGTGTTGAACATGTCGGACTATGACGAGGGCGGAGAGTTTGATGGGACGCAGGACGAGCCTCGCTACCTGCTGCTGGCCAGAGAGGCAGAGATGTACCAAGAGGGAGGCTACAACCTCAAGGCAGACCCACAGAGAGCAGGTTCGACTTCCATGCTGGCTTAACAGACCTCACTGTGCTGAATATGTATGGATATACCCTCGTAAGGATTAAACTCTGGCTTACTCCTTCATGGAGGCTGGTGGCTGTAGTCAGGAGGATTATTGTGTTAACCCAGAAAAAAACGTCTGTAAAAACTCCTCAAACACGCCTGTAGCATATTCCATGTTCCTGATGTTGATCCATAGTTTCTCCACAACATGGCTAAATACACTCTCTCTGTGTCATGCAGTAGCCTCTTGTATTTAGCAATTTATTGGCAAAGCGACAAACTGATGGTCGACAGCGTATGAGCAAACATTTTAAAACCCTTGGTTATCAGCTGTGGATTAATACACATTAGGTGCTCTAATGCAGCCAGTCTCAACCACTGGTAAGTCTCAGAGCGCCATCCAGTGGGCAGTGGAGGTAGTGGTACTGCCAAATGGTTAGATAGAAATAAAACACATTTTTTAGTCGTTTATCTAGTTGTTATTATATCTAAAGAGTCTAAAATTCAAATTTTCAATAACCAGTTACGTTAGAATATCACCATTAAATCACAAAACATTTTAAAGAGACAAACATGTTTTGCAGCTGTTAGATATACGCTCCCTCGGATGCAGTGACGCAAAATGGATCCGTTTTTGTAACGAAAAAGTCAAAAGCCTCTCAGAAATCTGACAACGGTGTAGCACATATTTCCACTTTTTGTCGTGTTGTGTTTTTTTCTCATGTATTTGGGAAGGTCGTCCTTTTTTAACAATCAGCAGAAGGATGCAGTATGTGCGACTGAATCCAAATAAACTACAGTGTTGGACAATAAAGGAGCTCTATTGCACAGATAAATAACGTATATGAGGCTACACAAACAATTCTTGTTAGTCGCATCGATTCATTGTTGGTTTTGGTCTTTTTATGAGAAAAATGTTGATGGATAATCATCTCTGCCTCCATCCTAACCTCTCATACCGTCCCTTTCTGCAGGTGATCTGTTTACAGAAGCGGCAGAAGCTGCCATGGCGGCCATGAAAGGTCGATTGGCGAACCAGTACTACATGAAAGCTGAAGAGGCCTGGGCGCTAATGGAGGAGTAATTCTTTTTATCACAGAAAGGCCACTGGAGGGTTAATGTGTCTGATAGTTGGGCTGATTTATACACAATCAGGATACAACCTGAATTGTTATCGTTTACATATTTTTTTTATTGCAGAATGTTTTGCCCTTTGTGCTCTGTGTGTGTGTGTGTGTGTGTGTGTGTGTGTGTGTGTGTGTGTGTGTGTGTGTGTGTGTGTGTGTGTGTGTGTGTGTGTGTGTGTGTGTGTGTGTAATGATCAGGTTTCCAGGTTTCTGCTCTTCTTTTTCCCGTTTGTGAAGCTTGTCTTCCTGGCTCCTGTTTTCTTTTTAAATTTCCTGTCTCTGATCACCTTTTGGATTAAAGTGGTTGCATGAAAGAAGAAGGTCTGAAGAATCAAAACAAAGAAAATGGTTTACTTACTGTTGCCCTTAAATGTTAGCACACTTATGTTGGAAGTATATATGTAAAAATGCTTGGAGTTTAAAACTGTAAAATAAAGTTTGGATTGCTTTTTATGGATTAAAGTACTGATGATTTTGTTCTTCATTTTTAATAATAGTAAAATAGATAATATTCATTATTACCCTGGAGGGCTTTGGACCTCATATTACAGTAAAAATGTTAATATATAATAATTTCAAATCCAAAATGCTTTAATGCAACCAGAACACTTCATATTTTTTTCTGTCAACTTGCTCTACCAGAACTCTAATTTTTAAATTCTGTCTACTTTGTTGCTCATAACAAAATAACCTAGAAACAGGTGGGATCCCATTAAACAATGAGAATGAATATGCTATCATACAGAAGTGCAATAAATATACTTTCGCGTATAATATAATAAGTATAATAATGTAATACTAGATATACGATACACTATTTTACAGTATGTAGATGTAAGAAACTGAAAGGCAAAAGTTACCTGTATGCGTTATCAATGAATCATTTTATTTTGGATGTAGTTAACGTATGTTTAATTTAAATGTGTGTTATGTCCGGTTTTGAATTTAGATGTAACCCTCTGGATTACTGTTCTCTGCGTGGATTAAACTCATTACACCTCTCTGATTTATGGGACATAATCACTGAACATATACAGATATTGTTAGAGACTAGTCGATATTGTACATACATAGCTATATGCCACTTCTCATGTTTATAAGTTGTGCAACTCACCAAGAAGTGACCTTTGACCTTGTTTATATTTTTGACAAGGCTGTTTATTGTATTTTATACTTGCAGCATTTGATATTTAATATGTTTGCACTCTTTTTTTTTGGAACTCATGTTTTATTTTCAACAAAATATTCCATTCCATACATACAATACAATTTTACATTTTTACCTTACACTTCACACATTTACAGCTGCTACAAAATACACAAATAAATAAGTAAAAAACAAAAAGACGAAAAAATAATAATAATAATAATAAAAAGTAATAATAAATAAGACAAAAGTACACTTTTCTTATTGCATTAGCAAACTCACTACAGGGCTCCATCTCTTTATAAATGTAGGTCTTTGTAGCCTTATTGCATATGTAATTTGTTCCGTCTCATACAGTTCCCATACTTATTTAAGCCATATGTTATATGTTTGCACTCTTGATAAGTAAATTTCTATCTCATCTCATCAGTTTTAAAGGAGTATGTAAACATAAGTACAACAATACTAAACGATTTTCAGGTATTTGAGTGAGAAACATTTCAGGAATTAATGTCAAAACTATTAAAAGTTCAGTTTAAACATGTATTCATTGTAATAACGGATAATAGATAACGGCCCGTCATTGGTGGTACTAAGGTAGCGTGGCCGAGCGGTCTAAGGCGCTGGATTAAGGCTCCAGTCTCTTCGGGGGCGTGGGTTCGAATCCCACCGCTGCCAGAAACCTTTTTTTTCTACACACAACTTAATTTAATAAATAAACCAAACACACACGCGGCTCCTCTGTGACTGTTAACAAAGCTCAACATTACTCTAAAAACCAACAACGGCGAGGACAACAGTACCGTGCAACCGCTGTGCATTATGGGCATCGGCTCCTCCCCACGTGTCTCTGAGTGTGTGTGTGTGTGTGTGTGTGTGTGTGTGTGTGTGTGTGTGGAGTCAACATGATACCGACAGACTCCAGCAGCCCGAGTTAGACTCCCTCTCCTCGGCGCACCTCCCTCTCCTCTCCCCGCAGACACGGATAGCTGGAACCGGTTGGTGAAGAGTGCAGGTGAGACTCAAACCAAGTCTGGAAGTCGTTTATGAACAAATATGTGCGGAAAAAAAATAAAAATAAAAAAAGCCCCTTTCGGTGACTGACTGTTATTCTCACTGACATGTGTGTGTTAGCACGCCTAGCTATCCTGCTAACGCTAAGGCTAAAGTTGGTTGCACGTTTTCTATCCTGGTTGCTCTTGCGTTTGTTTTACAGAGGACAGAAGGTGTTTGGCTTGTTGCTCTTTGTCCTGTTTTCTTTCAGGGGTGTATATTTCGGCGCAGGAGTGAACATTTTGAGCCGGCAGTGTGTGATACAGGGCCTGTGACAAGAGGGTTTGGTTGCTCGCTGGCTAACCGAGCTAACGTAGCCAGAAATAGGACTTCCTCTGCTGTTTGTTGTTTTTGTGTTACTGCCTGTAATGAGCATTATAACTACTGTGAATCACTGTTAGCTGGACACAACGTTTGTTACTCAGTGTTTGCATGGAGAGCAGATAATATAATGTGGGTTGCATTGTCTTGCATCATGTGAGCTTTACCTGGTTGTATCAGTGATAGCATCACTTTACAGACTGCATAATCACGGTCTGTCTGTCTGTCTGTCTCGACTAACTTTTGGGGTTTAAGGTTAATTTAATAGGTTTAACTGAAGACTGACAACCTGAACCCCCCTTCTCCTCCTCCTCCCCCCTACTTTGGTTAAATCATAATGGATTCTGGTGTAATCTGGTTATGCTGAATCACATTGTTCTCATTCCTGCACCAGCTACTTGTTTTCTTTACCTATCTGGGTGTGTGTGTGTGTGTGTGTGTGTGTGTGTGTGTCTTTTATTTCCAGGTTGGATCGCTGAAGATCTGCTGCTGCCGCTCCTTCTCCTGTTTCATCTCCTCTCCCCTCCCTCTCGCTCTGCTCACATCAATATGGCCAGCGGGGATGACGACGACCCCATTATAGAAGAGGTTTGTCCGTTAGGCCCAAGTTGAGGGATAAAGGGTGGTGATGTTTTAATCCACAGTGAGTTTATCCAGCTGACTTGTGTTTGCTGAAATGGGATATGACTCATTCCTCGGTGCCATAGCGCTCCATTGTTGTCCATGAACTGTTTAAAACACCTCAGCCAGCCTCACCGTTCAGCTGGGTGACATCGGCTTTCGTTATTATGAACATGGGCACCGGTTATAGCGGTTACAGATTTTAAATGGTCGATATTTAGAGAGCACGGCTGCCTGAAGAAAAGTCATGTATTATTCTGTTCTTTAGGAAGTTCAGGCGTATGTTTACAGCAGGATAAGTTGTGTGTGTGTGTGGAAGGTGGTTATAGATAGGGTTGTACTGATTCTGATTCCTCAGCTGAGGGTATCTGATGATACTGGTGCCCAATCATAAGCCAGTACTCTCCTTTTCCCTCGTTCACACTGCGGCCCACAGTCATTTTGTCAGTCGAATCAGAGAGTGACAGCTTGGCAGGCTGTAAACTTCACCAACCCAGTCTCAGAATGACCACACACACTACAAAACTAACTGATGGAAGCAGAGAAGAGTGATAGTTAACGGAGGGCAGCGTGAGACCAGACAGCAGGGCGGCAGCAGCTGCTCCGACGCTCTCTCTGCTCCACCGTGATTGACTCTTTAGCTAACAGTGCTGCAGCAGCCTGGCAGGAGAGATACTACATGGCACTGTGATTTTATAACAGAGATAAGAGCAGGACACACTTTAATTTTCTCTGACTGTGTGGAAATCGTTTTCACGTCACCGATTGACAAAGAAAAGCATTAAAACGTGAGTCATGTAGCTGCGTTTCCTCCGGAGGAACTACTGATTAAGTTTGGCACTGTGCTAAAAAGAGGAAGGAATAGACGAATCTTCATATTGAACATATACTTGAACAATACTTTTTAATGTAAAATAACGTCAGTCCAGGGATTGCTGTGGCGTTGCGAGTAAATGAATGTAACAGGAAATAAATCAAGACAAAGCTGCTTGATTAAGACAATGTTCCAGTTCCAGTTTGTATCGTCAGAGAATAACTTTGATCAACGTTCCTCTTTCTTCTAGATTGATGTGTACCTTGCCAAAAGCCTTGCAGATAAGCTGTATCTTTTCCAGGTAATCTTTTCCTTTATTGCACTTCATGCTGATGAGTACGACTCCCCCTGTGTGAGCAGATTCTGTGTGTCTAAGTGTCCTGAGTCACACACTCATCACATGTGTTGTTTTGTCTGACACAGTATCCTGTCCGACCATCCACTATGACCTATGACGACGTCAACCACCTAGCAGCTAAGATCAAACCCAAGCAGCAAAGGGTAAAACTAAAAAGGCTCTTTTCTGATTTTATCACCCTCCAGTCTAGAAAAATGTTTGTAATGTGTTTTTTGTACCACCCATAATCCAGGTGGAGTTGGAAATGGCCATCAACACAATGAGTCCAAACTACTGTCGCAGCAAAGGAGAGCAGATCGCTCTGAATGTAGACGGCACGGCTTACGATGAAACCAACACCTATTCAGCGTATGTCTGCCGTTAAACCTCGTCTGCATTCACACTGCCAGTAACCTGTTTCTATGTGACTGTCCACTGCTCATTGTGAGCTAGTTATTAATACTCACCACCAGAGTTTTTAAAGCAGACGTTTGACAGTTTGGGTTATTTGCTGGTGAAGAGTTCGATGAGAAGATTGATACTTGGGCTGCAGCTATTAATTAATTAAGTAATCGGGTATTCTACTGATTAGTTCAGTGATTAATCAAGTAATTGAATAAGAAATACTTTTGCTTTATTAAAGCAATAGTAAATATACAATAGAGAATTTAATGTACAGACATGACGGAGGTATCAGTCTTGGCAAGAATGCAGCTATTTCTTTAACATCAAATAACCAAATGCTAAATGGCAATTTAGTGCACTTTTGAGCATTGTTCTCTTTCTTTTCTTCTCCAGGAAATTGATGGATAAACAGACCTTTTCCTCCATCCAGGCCACCACCAACACTTCCAGATATGCTGCTGCTGTGTTTCGCAAAGGTCTGACCTGCTTCTGTAGTCCACTTTAGCACCATGCTCATGTTTTGTAAATACACAAAGGTCACTCATATGTTCAGAGTCCACATGAATCTCTACCAGTGTTACATTTCTTATCTTTTCTGTTAAAGTTACACCCACAACTTTACTGTCAGCAATATGTATATGTCAACAATCTACCACCGCTGTTGTATTACTGTTTTGGTGTCTGATTGTTTAATTCTTTATGTCAATAGGAGAGCTTCACGTCACACCTCTGACAGGAATCCTTCAGATGAGACCCAGTTTCTCTTACTTGGACAAAGCTGACAACAAAACCAGAGAGAGGGAGGCGGCCAATGAAGGTCTGTTTTTTTTAGAAATTATTTATATCGGAGAGATTAGTGTGGGTTGATATTTGTTTTCAATAACAGAAGATCGTGGAGAATTATGTTATTTACTGTAACTTGTCGTTCACTAAGGTTTTAGACTGTTGTTCTGACAACATTAAAGTGAGGAAACTATCTGTAGATTAATCAACAATGAAAACCATTGTTACAGCAGAGATAAAATTTTGTGTTTCTGCACTTTCATTTATTTTTTAAAATTCTTTTTCATTCATTTGTCAATAAAAGAAACTCAGCGTCTTGTTTGTATGTTAATAAGTATAATTCTGGTCTTTTATGGTCTTGTGAAAATAGTTAAAAATGTTGTCACATATAATGGCCGTTATGTGACCAGAGTCTGATGTCTGCAGGTGGAGATTCCTCACAGGATGAGGCTGAGGAGGACGCCAAGGCCATCACGGTGAAAAACCTGCGCACACAAAGTCATGATTACACTCATGTTATGTCCCAGTGAAAACTAATCATTTCTATAAATGTGTGATCCACTGCAGGTGAGGTTTGCTCGTCCAGAATCAGAGCAGGCCCGACAGAGGAGGATCCAGTCGTACGAGTTCCTCCAGAAGAAGCAGGCGGAGGAGCCGTGGGTTCACCTGCACTACCATGGTGTCAAGGTAGGGTTTCTTCTATTTCATTATGTCATCCTTCTGTTGTTTGGTTATACATATAGTATAGTATAACATAAAGTGTTATAGCGGTCTCTCGCTGCATTGTTGTCAGTAGATCTTGCTGTGAATCATCAGTTTTGTCTTTTGTCATGTTATTTAAATTCAGGATGGGCGCTCAGATCATGAAAGGCAGTACCTGTTCTGCCAGTCGGTGGACGCCTCAGAGAACTCTGAACTGGTCAAAACTCCTAAGTGAGTATGAACAAATGACATTTGAATACAGCTCATTATGTTTACTCAAATGACATTTGAATACAGCTCATTATGTTTACTAGGAGTCTAGATTATTTCTTAGTCAAAGTTTTTGAATATTCTTTTGATTTTAGTCCCGTGTTGTACATTAGTCAACCCCAAATTCCACCCGGCACAGCGTTTAATGCGTTTTGGCTGCGCCGCGGCCACCGGAGCTGATGGCAACTGTTGTAAACAATGCTTGTGATTCGACACAGAAGCGTCCTTTCACTCTGCTCCCTGGAGAATACGTGGCTGGTCTTTCGCACTGGCAGGAAGTCGGAGACAGAAACGGCATAGAGAGTCCGGTCAATTTTCCAATTTAAAATATCCCATGCAGACTCCAGATCAAATTTCACTTTACATCAACACTTTGGAACCAGACCAGAAATCAATCAGTCAGTCAGTCAGAGGAGATTTGACACCAAGGACGAAGAGAGGTTTACCTTGGAAGTGGCACCGGCTTGTATCTTTTTTTTTTTTTTCAAGGGCAAAATACTGAAGTCAACAGTGTCGAGCAGATGCTCTGAATCTGAAATGGAGGGATATCTTTGGTGGGATTTGAAGACACACAGAGCCAAACCGTGTTGCAGACACAACGTCTTAAAGCCGTGCCCAGTGGAATTTTGGTGTTACTAACTTTAAATAATCATGTCTGCAATATACTAGATGCAACGTAACATTTTTGGGCCACAATGACTTATGCTGATGCAATTTTAAAAAGACTACAGTCTATTTTAGTTCCTTTTGTTTCTTATGTAATCCCTGATGGTTCCTTCTTTACATGCTCACCTCTGCCTGACTTGTTTCTCTTATGTTTCCAGGGAGTATCTGGCAATGCTGATGCCTCCTCTTGCAGAGGAAAAAGTGTAAGTATTCCTCATATTTGTTACCAAAGTTATGAACAGGATGACAGTTCCAGAAATGCTTTATTAACGACTGTGTTTCTGTACGTCAGTGTGAAGCCTGTCGGTCCCAGTAATGTGCTGTCCATGGCTCAACTCCGCACTCTGCCACTGGGAGACCAAGTCAAGACGCTGATGAAGAATGGTAGGCCAACACATTTAGACAAAACTCGTCACATATCTGTAGATCGTAGACCTGCAACATCTGGTTTTCTAAAAGTGGATCATTTGTGACGTACACATTCTTCACATCAGTATCCAAGTCAGTCCACGTGCAGTTTTTCTTTGTGCCAGACGAGGGCGACAGAGTATTAGTATGGATGGCAGACATATGTGACACCAGAATCAGGTTTATTGCCAAGTAGGTTTTCACATACAAGGAATAAACCTTTGTATTCTGGTGTCTAACAATCATAGTAACAGTTTTGTCCCAGTAGATTTCTCATTAACATGAACTACATCATATTTACACCAACATTCAGTTTGATTGTCCTTTCTCTTGCAGAAGTGTTTTTATATTTGCTTCACTATGTCTCCTCTCTCTTCAGTCAAGGTGATGCCGTTTGCTAACCTGATGGGACTGCTCGCCTCTGGCACAGACTCGACATCAGCGCTGCGCTGCATCCAGCAGGTGGCGCTGCTGGTTCAGGGGAACTGGGTTGTCAAGAGGTGAGACCAAACAGCCTCAGTGCAGATTAATTTAAACTTCATAACTCTTAACAGCCAGTGTGATATTTAGGAAGCTTTATCGGCAGAAATGAAATATGATATTCATAGGTTTATTTTCACATTCACATTAAACTCACCAACCTGGAAGTTAAGTGATGTTTCGGTATGTTCTTTTCCCCCAGTGATGTTCTGTATCCTAAAAACACCTGCAGTCCTCACAGTGGTGTCCCTGCTGAAGTGCTCTGTCGTGGCAGAGACTTTGTGGTGAGCGGCTGTTGTTACCCCTTTATTGAACTCAAAATTAAACCAATTACAATCTATTAATGTGTTTTTTTTTGTGTGTGGTTGACATGAAGTCATAGTGACTCAGTTGTTCCTTTCCTAGATGTGGAGGTTCACTCTGGAGCGCTCTGTGATGAGAAAAGAGATTACATCCATCATCAAAGTAAGTATCACAAGGCCATTATCCAAAATGACTGCTGGTTCCTGCTTGATAGTGACAACTGAAGAGGGCCCAACACATCTTTGTGCCAAAAGAATTTAATTTCATGAAGGTTTTCTTTATTTTTAAATTGGTTTAGTTTGAAACAAGTTTGTGTCATTTTTTGAAAAAGTGAAAAATTTAAAGAGTTTGAGGCACGCTGCCCCAGAGGCTGCTTTCATGGCAAATTAGTCTCTTGGGTGTTCAACATATTTGCAAGGAAGTGCTGGCTGTGAAAACAAATCTCCCTCTGTGAGAATAAATCTGAGTTGTCTGTTGAAGTGTCACATACGTTCTCCTTTTCAGTTTCTCTTATTAGACTGAAATTGTTCGTTATATTGCGACTGTATCCTGATGAACTGGAAGTTTATTGCAAAAATAATGCGGGAGCTGAATGAAATAGCAATCTTGCTCAAATGTTGATTGCTGCAATGGATTGATTGCAAGACCATGTTCTTGTTTATGGCAGCAGCCAAGGGGGAATTCTTTGTGCAAATCCAACAAAAACAAACTCCTTCACCTGGGAAGTGCTCAGTGCCACCACAGTTTGTCATGGTTGTTTAGATGCTGAGCCGCTTCATTGGAGCAGAAGCATCTCTGAACACTTGCTGCAGCTTTCACCTTGAAGCTACAGTTGTTCCGTTCATCCAGGTAAACAGAACTTACAACCTCTTCCTTCTGTCTCGGTCAGCTTCCTCCAGAGGATGTGAAGGAGTTCCTGGAACATGTGGCAGCTCCTCGAGTGAACCGGGGCTGGGAGTTCCTGTTGCCTACTGATGTAGACTTCATTAAGAAACACCCAGATGTTGCCCACAGGCAACACATGCTGTGGCTTGGCATCCAGAGCAAGTAGGTTACACTCAGAGAAGTAGTGGTGCAGCGGATCATAGGTCATCCTCACATATATTAAACTATAGGATATCTATGAAATATACATTTGATTGTATCAAAAGTACCAAAGTTATTAAAAAAAACAGCTCTACAATTAGAACATCATTAATTAGTGGACAGAGAGAGACGTCTGACATTAAGCTGAAGATGCAGACTGTCTATTTTACAAGCACGCACCACGTTAAGCAACATTGAGCACAGGTTGGTGGCGATGTCATACCATATTGTTTCAATATGCTACATCATTAATGTGACCAACCTTTTCCACACATTGTTCACCTGCTGTTATGAAAACTTAACTTCGTTGTCCCTGTATTGGGCAACCGAGAAACAGAAAGAGGCAGGCCAAGCTGGTGTGTCTGGAGAGAGAGTTTTCCTTCACTTTCCCCCCTGACGCACTCATACTCACACACCTCGGTGAGCAGATGAAAGTAGTTTGTGAGTAAACCCTAAAATAAGGATAGAATTAGAATATCTTTTGCGGATCTGTGAGTCAAAACTGTGATACGATCCTAACCGACAGTTTTGCGATCCGTTGCACCTCTACAGAGAAGTAGGACAATGTTTTTTTTTTAACTGAAGAATCTGCACCATCTCACCACGGTATTCTTGTGTCTCTTCTCTCCTTTAAGGTTGGAAAAAGTCTTTAACTTCTCTAAAGAAGACTTCATGCCAAAGAATTCCCCTCAGCCTGGTGTGTACCACCTGTCGATACAATGCAATTTAAATATTCAGAAGGAATTATCTTACCTGAGCTAATTTGAGTGTCTGTGTGTGCGTTGATTTCCAGAGCCTGTCCATGTTAGCGGGGAGCAGCGTCTGAAGGTGGCTCAGGAGCGTGCGCGAGAAAACCAGTCGTCGCTACAGAAGGACCTCGACACCAAACGGGCAGGAAGCAGCGTCCACGTCAAACAGGAACCCGTTAGCGATCGGGAAGACGAACCTATGGACACCTCTTCCCCCTCCTCCTCCGCCATCCCCAACGGTTCAGTCAATGGTTACCCCAGTGCCACCTCCCCCAGCTTTGACCACACTAACGGTAACGGAGGGAGTCCCGCCAACACGTCGTCCCCGGAGCTGCAGGACTTTGTGATAAAGACTTTCAGGAAGCATTTTGTAGTGACGCTGAATGAGTTTAAGAGGCTGTTAAACCTCCACCTGGCTTCCATGCCGGTGGGACGGAGCGTCTTCCACTCCATCTCGGACCACATGCTGCAGGAGGCCATACTGCTCAGCCACTGCAAACAGATAATGGTGCCTGTGAGTATTCAGGGAGAATACCAACTCAAGGATTTACAAAGTTTTGGATGTGAAGCTCAAAAATTCACTCACACTGGAAGCTTCTATTTTCCTTCCTTCTCTCAATCGGTGTATTGTACAGCCTTGTCACTGTAAGGCTGTGTACAGACTGACAGTCTGGCAGAGCACTACAGGGGCTGCATTGGTGCAAAAGGTATCTGTTAGAAGATGAGGAAAAGGATTATCAGACATCTAAACACTGCACAGCTGAACAAAGAAATCACAAATTCACATTCCAGTCTTTCAGATGTTAATATTTTCCATTTTTCTTACTCTTCTATCATAGTAAACTAAATATTTTGGGATTTTTAGATTGTTGGTCAGTTAAAACATCACCATGAACTCCAGGAAATTTGGGCATATCACAATTCTTACGGACAATTTATGGATAAAACAATAGAACAATATAGAAAAATACTAAGTTAAGTTGCAGCCCTAGTTAGCAGACTGCTGCACAGGCTACAGTGTGTATGGTGTGGATCATATGGATCGTTTCTGTCACAGTTAGAGCCGAGACCATTAATGGATTTGTTGAATGACAGAAAATCAGTTTGCAATTCGTTTGATGGTTAGTTGAGCTTTTCTAATGTTAGGATTTACTGCCCTTTTGTCATAAATCAGTAAATTGGGATATTTAATTGTTTGCTGGACAAAGCAAGATATTTGAAGATGTCACCTTGAGCTGTGGGAAATGTTTTACTCATTGAGAATAGAATTGAATTGAAGAAATTCATAGATTAATCCTATAATTAAAATAATCGTTAGTTGCAACCCTTATGAATTAGAGATTTCTGAGTCTGCAGCCTGTTCCATCCAATGCAGTAGTTGCAATTAAATAAATAAGAAAGCTGTAAACACACATCATTCACATCATCTCAGACTAAAGGGGCCACACCTAAAGAACATGCAGAACTGAGTGGCTCTCTGCGCTGAGATTACGATCCTGTTTGTCTTTGACTAAGAGCTGCAGCTCCTCTGGGCTCCCTGTCCAGTTAAAACTGCCTTCAGGTGCTGAACAAGGGAGTTTCCTCGCTGGCAGCTTGAATGCAGCTATCAGTTTTCTCGAGCAGAATAACGACATTAACGGTCATTCCGCTTGCGAGCGCTTTTGTTGCGTGTAAAGCAATCGGTGCACTGAAGCAATGCAAACCTGGATCTCAGGTTCCCACTCAAGCTCCAGCAGCCACCTGACACCTCGATGTGTTTGTAGTGTGTTTGTCTGTCCTCTGTGTTTGAGGTAGCTGTTTATAGGCTTAATGTAGGTGGATGTAGTCGTTGCTTTTTTAGTTGTGTTTTACTTTGTGTGGTGTTTGCTCAGAGGGCAGGGAGTGGCAGGGTCTGTGCCACATGCTCTTGTTTCATTAAGCAGCCAGATCTCCTGCCAGGACCAGCCCTGTCCTGGCTTAGGTCTTATCCCATCTGTATCCTTGACGTTGGAGGATTTCAGGGTATGGCCAGACGCCATCTTTGTTATGCAACAGATTATTAGCCTCAAAGTAAAGCTCATTACTGCTAAAGGGAGTAAGCCGCTTTGTTGTTTACAAACGCAAGCAGATCTGGAATCAGGAGACTGTCCTTGTACATTACCGTAAACATTATTGTGTGAATGTCAGTTCAGAGATCAGTTTTGAGCCGGGGGGGTTTGTGTCTGGAGGGTAATCCTCATGTGGAGCGCTCAGTGTTGGTCCTTCTGGTCGCAGCGGTGCTCGGCCTCTGCCTGTTTTTGCCTTGGTGTTTGGTCGAGAGATCAAATTAAGTGTCTGAGAGGAAAGGAAAACAATTTGACGTAATTTAACTGTTGCATAAAATGTCACTTTCACTATTGAGTCGAGGTTGTGATTGACATGAATGCTCAACTATGTCTGTTATGAACACTTCTGACAGTTCAAACACAATCTCATACTTGCTGACAGTCTGTGTTTTGCTCTGTGGTGCATGCTGAGAGGGGAAAGAGCATGGTTTAGCTTGCTCTGCTCAGACTAGCTGCAGGTTTAGGGTCCAAAGTGTGTCTAACATTACTGTTTCCCTCTGATTTTAGTTCCCTGCTCAGACCACAGCAGCTGCCGATGAACAGAAGGTGTTTGGTCTGTGGGAGACCGGAGAGGAATTCGACAAGGTAAACAAACTACTACTTTATGAGCAAGTTTTATAGTAGTTTCACAACATCCTTATTATCTCACTCTACATGCAGACTTTTGCAGCTGACACTCGCCACAAACCACAAGTCGAAGCCTTCAGCACTGAACACTGAATTTCCCACGAATATCAGAACCGACAGGCAGCGTGTTTCGGTGTGGGTTGCTTGTAGCAGTCGAAGTAGGACACGGTTCAGTTTTGTAGCCACAACCGAAGTCGAAGTGAGAAAGCTGCATGTCGGGGAGTGTTTGTCTCTCTTGTTTCTGTCTTCTTTCTTTAATCTAGAATGGGAGGAAATGACAGTTGCGTCGTTTGTGGTGTTTTAGCTGCTATTATCTGCACTAGACTTCCTCTTTGTTAAATTCCCAGGCTTAAAGTTGACTTTACACTGATTGTACGTCTGTGTGGTCTTATTTACCTAAAGGTAGAGTACAACATTTTGGGAAATGTTTGTTTTCCGTTCATCTGTACACTAAATATGAAGCTACAGCTAACAGTTAGATTAGATTATTTTAGCGTAAAGACTGGAAACAAGGGTAAACAGCTAGCCTGGTTCTGTCCAAAGGCAAAAAGTTTGACCTGTCAACACTTTAAAACTTTATTTAATCCCTGTAAAACTGTGGTTTTGACTATTTCCTTGGCTGAACTCTGTTTCTCCTGGAAACCACCAACAGTTCCAAGTAAACCAACACATTATAGCATGTTTATTAGTGAGCTTTAGGGGTGTTGGTTGGTGGCATTTGTTATCTTTGGACAGAACCAGGATATCTTAACCTGATTTACTAGATGGTTTGTTAGATTGTTTGGAAAGCAGTCGTTGGAAGCTGTTTGGAAAAGGGCAGGCACCATAAAACATACTCCTGCACATGATTGGATGAACTATCTGTATATCCCAAACCACAAAACAAACCATATAACATAGTCAAACTCTCAGAGTACCGCTGTAGATTTCAGCCTGGAGCGATGGATTCTCACATGATCTTGAGTCCAGCTGGCTCACATGGTTTAAGATACCTTCTGCGCGATATTTCGCTCTGCTCATCTGACTCTCTACGAGAAAGCAAATACATGTATTTCCCAAAATGTCAAAGTATTGCTTTAAATGAATTCTTTGATGTGCTTTTCTTCCCGCAGCACCGCCGGCTGCTGTTTGACCTGTTCACGAAGAACTACCGGGTCAGGAGGAACATGATACAAGCCAAACTGGCTCAGGAGTTGGGAGAAGTCTCTAAGGCGGAGATTGACCGGCTGCTCAATGTGAGATGGGCGACGAGACTGAACATTTGTTTCTTAAGTAGTTTTTTCTGTGTCTGATTTTAACCTGTCGTCTGTTCTTCCAGGAGTGCTGCAGCAGCCACGCAGGGATGTGGTACCTCAAGGGAACGATACAGTCCTGACACTAAGATCCCGCCCCCTGCGGTCACTGTCAGCCAATCAAATCCTCTCCCAGGTGTCCCAGTGGGAGGGCAGACAGACAGATGAGAAGCCAATCACAGCTCGCCCAGCTCTGAGGGAGGGCGATTGGAGAACAAAGATGTCAGCCGTCTGCTCTGCTCAGAACACGAAGCTTTTCTCGTTTCAGCTGAAACATTTCTGACATTAACATGAGCTCTCTGATGCAGCGTGGAGGATGGAAACTCCTCACATACTCTCACTAAGAGCTGGAGTGTCTGAGGGGGGGGAAGTATGAATATAAACAAATGAAGAAATAGCAAGATATATATATATTATATATACGGTTTATCAGTAGATTTTTTGGATTTATCACCTCATGTTTGATTAGTTTTGAATTTAACTTTTACCAGATCAGGATGGTGTTTACTGTTGAAAGCAACTGTGGCTCAAAGTGCTTTCGTTTTACTCCTGATAAACTGTAACTTCTGCCAGAGACGTGTTTTACTTTATCATATCACCAACAAAGCAAATATTGTTTAAGGGCCTCTAAAGAAGCAATCCTGATTTATATTTCATCCAGATCTGACTTTGTTTAGGAACATTGACTGAATAAGAGCATTTATTCCTCCTTCAGTATCTACATAAACGAGGTGAGCTTTAAGGTTGAATGATACAGTTTCTTAATTAAAACTTGTGGAAGCACTTGAACAGACGTTGCCAAACTCATGAGTCAGCAAACCTGAAACAAAAAGGGAAAAAAAAACATCTAATGATGCAAAAACAAGCAAAAAGTCCTTAATATCGTTTCACTCATGTTGTACAACGGAGGTGTTTTTGGCAATCATTGACCCGGAGACGCTTACATCCAATGTGGCTTTTCCCCACATTCCTGTATTATTCACTTGAATGTGTACTGAAATATAAGTTTAAAGAAGAAAAAAAGTGGATTAAATGGTTTGTTTCTGGTTGATTGTACAAAGTTTCAAATGGTTTTCCTTTATGAGAGAGGCTGGTTTTGACTGAAAAGCCAATAAAGATGCAATTTTGAATAAAGTTCTGTCACATTTTGATCATAAATCTGTTGGGATTTGATCCGTCGTGCAAACAAAAGTGGAAACGGATGTGTGTATGGACTCGATCGTGGTCCTTGCACCATCGTCTGGGGTTGTTGCTATGGATACGCCGGTGTATCGTCATGTGCTGCTATGTCGAGCCTCCATCTAAAGTGCCTCTGCCTCACGAAGGCGTTCAGGACAAACTCCCACCCACTCATATACAGAGTAACAGTAATGCTTTGATTCTCGCTGACATCCATTTGAATCCATTTCTAAAGAGTGAAAATGTGAATAAAGTGATTTTCATTTCAGGCAAAATCTTTCGTGGTACATCATCTAATTACGACAGCTGTATTCTTTTTCATTGGTTTGTTCAATAAACACTCGTTAAGTTGTCTGATGTGTTTTGTCATTATTATCACCATCAGTGGTGATGTGTTTAAAGATGGAAACTTCCCTGGATGATGGTCATATTAAACATATTATAGTGTAATATTCATGATGTTCAGTGGATATTCACTATGTATATTGCCTATGTATTATAATAACATATTAGGTAGATTTAATTGTCCTGTTAAGAGACAAAGCTTGATGGTTTATGTGAGACTGAAGTTAAAATTGGTTAAATTTTTTTATTTCTCATTATATGTTGATATGAATAGTGAGAGAGCTTTTGTTAGAGAATACCACAATTATGAGTTCTTCTGGTTGGATGATTATAATGTGTGTTTTAGGAAGCAGGGGCGGATCTAGAGGGGCCTGGACACCCAGCTTCCACACAGCTTTCTGTCAAATGCTGTCATTCATTTGGACTAAAGTGTTAAATAATGGAAATTAATTTAAAGATCTGTTATGGCCACATTTTAGACCAAGTGATGGTTTAAGTTCAATGAAGAAATAAAGGTACTTAGAAAAAATACAGAAAACTAATTCTAATGCCACCTTTCAATATTTCTGTTCAACGCTTCACTAATGTACCACAACAATTTTATGTTTTTGTGTTAAAATATCTTCATTTGTGAATAAATATTGACATATGTGATTGTTTGCCATTAAATCTGAATTTATTTCTGCCACCTGTTAATGTCTCCATGCCACCACATAAATATATCCCTGTATCTTTAATACTCAGGACCAAATATAAATATCTTTTTGCACTTTTATGTTTCATGTAAGATGATTTCATCATTGCAACCATTAACTCCATGTTACACTTTAATTTACCTCAAATCTTCCTAGAAATTCAGTTTAATTCTGATGTGATCGTGTTCTCATTTATTAGAGTTGTATGATAATCAGACTTTCATCAAATCTAGAAAGGATCCAAAGGAAAGGAATCTATTTCAGCACAAACCTCTAGAAATCACTTATACTCACACTTCAAGAGGTGTAGCAAGAATTTCTGCTTAATGTGTAGAAACTGCAGGTTGCACAAACTTACATAGCATATTTTAATTCTTTATATGCTACAATTTTGTTAATTTATTTGTCTTGTTTTGTGTTACATCTCTAATTTTAACTGTTGGTGATTCTTCTTCGGTCCGCGTTATTTTCAGGCTGTTGAGTTTGTTTGAAATCCAGCAGGGTGTCTGGATGGTGGAAATCAAAGCAGTTTTATTACATCAGATGAGAAAAAATAATATATATATATATATATCAGTGATTTATGATGTCCAACTTTAACTGTGACACGATCTCTATAAATAAAGGGTTTAATCATATTTTTACAACAGGCTGACTCAGTTAAAAAGACACAAACCTGCCAACTCAGCTTGCTTCATGTTTTATGGCTCAGAGCAACGACATAAACCATGAGGTCCAATCATGAAACAGGTAAAAACATAGATCGTACATACATACTGCAGATTATTCAGCTCCGGTAGCACATCACGCACGCTGATTAACTACAGAAAACAGTAATGTAAAGTGTCAGATGGGTATTGATAACACGTGTGCAGTTCTAAAGTGCATCTCAACGTAATTTTTTATAGACATCTACAAACTATGTGCACAGTTTTAAGCAACAGAACTGCTGCTGAGAAAAAGCTTCTAATCATACATGGCTTCACGAGGCGAATATATCAGGAGGCCGTTACATTATTAAGTACATAGAGTTCGTCTTTTGGTCAAAGGCGAACTTCCCTTTAATATGACATTCACTCACAGTCATCTAACCTATCGTACATGTAATCAAGTATATTTGCAGAAATTAAGGTTACAAGTACAAAAAAATCCTAATATATATTTTAGCACCTTGAATCACCGGCTGTATAACTCCTTCACCAACGTAACACCAGGTACCACGCTGGTCATTGGTTGCTCTTATAGGCGCAGGCAGAACAATCACCAAGAAAGCTACTTTTTTTTTCTTCTCTAGAGTTGCAAAGAAAGAAAATAATAAATTAAAAAGTTTACATTAGATCATAGGAGTGCAGTTAACAAAACAAACAGCAGATAACAGCAGTAACATTTTATTTCATGGATCCAAATCCTCCTAATAATGTTCAAAGTTTCCAGGAAGGAGCTGTTTAATTTGGGATTAATTTCAGGGAAAATAGAGAGTTTAGTTGAGTTTACAAGCATGTATATATCTATAATATATTAACTGTTAAAGTACCGGTGTTTAAGATTTAGTGGCCTCTAGTGGTGAAGTTGCAGAATGTAACTAACTGAACACTGCTCGCATCTGTATTGGAATAAGAAGTGAAGTGTGTAGGAGAAACTACGGTGGCTGTGGAAAGGCCCCATCTAGAGCCAGTGTTTGGTTTGTCCCTTCTGGGTTACTGTAGAAACACAGCGACTTTTTGTCCTATTTCCTGAAACGTTCACTATATCCTGACAGTAATCGCTTCCTCTGGCTCTTCCTGGTGCTCCTAATGGCAAAGAAAACAACCAATCAGAGCCGAGAAAGATATAAAAGACACTTTTGGTTGGTGGCTTAAAGATAGTGGATTGTTAAGGCTCATTCCCAGCATCGTATTCGACGACCTGGGAATGAAACTCAACAATCAAGAACCTTTCTTGGCTCTAATTACTTGTTTTTGTTCAACAAACCTTTCCATGAATTTACATTAGCTTGTCAATTTCTTTCTAGGAGATTATAAGAATATTATATATTGGGACCCTTAAAATAAAGTGTTACTGTTACAGCTTATTTAAAAAAAAAAAGACCCAGAAATGATTTCCCCAGGAGCCTGTTTGTGAGCAGGGTTGTGCAAAGTGAGGTAGAGTGATTGTACAGTGGAGCCGGCGGCGTTAGGCACTGGTGTTTCTGTGCAAAGTGAGCCACATCTGAGACATGAGCTGGTGGTGTTTGGCCTTTCCTGTTTCTGCATCACTCATATCTCTGAACCCTTCTTTGCATGGCGATCTTCCATTTCTGGGCAAATAACATACAGTAGAGTTAATAAGCTTCATGTGCTGCTGTAAAAAGTCTTTCCAAAGAGTCGCTCTGAAACTGGAAGACAATAATTAATCTTGCAGCAGGTCTTTTTCTTCTTTTTTTTTGGAAGCAACTAATGCAAAATCTGCAGCTCCGCTCCAGCTGAGGCTCTCCCTCTGTTTTCAATCAGGTCCTCTTTGGTTTTCTGAATGCGGGTGAAAATTTCCCTAAAAAGTTCCTTGTACTCCGGCTGGTGAAAGTCGTCCTCAAAGTCCTCCATGTCTGTCAGAGCAGGACGAGCAGCGGCGAGGGATGCAGTCTGGACCGACTTGTGGCTCTGCTCATCCTGCTCTTCCTCCGGCGGCCCCAGGTGGCAGCGCCGCAGCAGCTCGTCGTACTTCACCTGCAAGGCACTGTACTGGGCGTCGACCTCGTTGAGCAGCGAGATCCCGCGGTACTTCACCACCTCGGCCCGGCGCACGCAGGAGCACTCGTGGTCGTAGATCTTGTCGGGAGAGTCGTGCGTCTGCGCCACCTTCATCAGCCGCTCACTGTCCCAGCGCTTCAGGACCCACGGGCTTTTCACTGCATCCCCGTCACTCTCCTCCTCCGGGTTGAGGAACATAGAGTTGGGCAGCAGGCTGTGGATGAAGTCCGGCCTGGTGGATCGTGTGGAGGACTCTGATTTCCAGAGCTGACGGAGCTCCTCGGCCTCACGCTCCAGCTCTGATACTCTGGCCTGAAGCAGAGAGAGAGAAAGTGATTTAGAAAAGAGGTGACGGCAGAGAGGACCAATACAAACTGAACTCTGAAAGAGTCAGTAATGCTTTATGAAAGCAATATTAAAATACCCTTGTACTTCATTTTAGAGGACAAAAAGTTAACAGTAAGAATATGTTATTTATTTGCTGTGAGGAAGGTGCTGTCCGTCTGCCTGAATCCACGTGAATGCAGCATTAAATGTACAACAAGGAGTTTAAACTGGTTATGAAACCAGTTTAATTCTGAGGCCTCTATATGACCAACACACGAGACCATCAGCAAGAAAATTTAATATTTCTGTGTAGTTATTCTTTCTTAATGCCTTTCAATGGGTCGGATTCCCCTTGAAATCAATGAAACAGCGGCGTTAGAAAGTGGTTTGTGTCCACAGGGGCCGCCAGAATCAACATAAACTGAATGTTGTTTTTCAAAAGTTGTTTGTGTTCGTGTGCCGCGCAGACACAGGTGAGAGATATTCGTCTCACGTACCTGACACCCCTCCATCCCCGCCAGCTGCTGCTCCAGCGTTGCATTTTCGCTGGCGAGCAGCTCGGCCTCTCGCTCCGACTGCTCCCGCCGGGCGCGCTCGCTGGCGAACTGAGTCTGGAGGGCGCGGAGGGATTGTCGTAGTGACGCCTGCTCCTCCTCTTGCCATGACATGTCAGGAGGACTGAAGGCCGTCTGAGGGTTCATCGGGGTCATAGTCGTACCTGCAGACACACAGACAGAACTATAAATAGTGTATATATATATATATATACACACACATTTCATCCATATACATACTTTCTGTGGCTTTAATTAACTTTTCAATGGGATGAATGTTGATAAAATCTAATGTCGAATGTATTAAAGGAATAGTATTCACTTTCTTGCTGAGACTTTAATGAGAAGATTTAAATCTCTCATGTCTGTACAGTAAACATGAAGAGAGGTGGTTAGCTTAGCTTAGCATAAAGACTGAAAGCAGGGGGAAACAGCTAGCCTGGCTCTGTCCAAAATGTAACTAAATCTTTCTGCCAGCTCTAAAGCTCACAAATTAACATTTTATATCGTGTTTGCTAATTTCTTTAACCTGTTTGAAAAAGTGTAAAACAACAGGTTTTGGTTTTATGGGGGTTTTGGATTCAACACAGTGACTTCCTGATGAATGAGTGTATTTCCAGAACTACTTCTTGAATTGTTTTTATAAAATAATACTATTACAAATACTAATACAAAAACACAAATGCATGTATCAAAACTAAAGTAA